TCTCACTCCTGATCTGGTGCGAATGCATGACCGAGAGCCTTTAGCTAGGTGAGTCCACTAAAACATGTGATCAGCACCCAATGTCTAAAACGTACAGAGCTATTTATTTTGGGGATTTATATACCGCTACAACACCAATGAAGTCAGCATTGATGTTGAAGACTGACAGAATTACTTATTCTGGAGACTTATTTACAACTGCATACTAGTCATTCTTGAGGATATTCAAAAGATGCTTGGATTCAGCGACTGAACAAACTGGGAACGGGACTGTTTTTCTCATCTAGTGCTCAGTTATTGTAACTCATTATCCAAATAAACGATATCAGCATATTGACGGACGATTTTTAAGAGAAACTGGATCTTCACCGCAACGAATATGAAGGATTTAAAGCGGTCGATAGCCGTTCTGTGCTCTCAACTAAGACTGGGTGGAAATCCTGAGACCTCTCAAGGCGCTGGTTTCAAGTTTAAGGTCACAGGCATGTCATCGCTTTGGCCTTGGTCTTCCTGTTATTTCCCTCCCTTAGGGGTTACGATGTTAGCTAGTTCCGACGGAACAGTTCGCGTTTATAATGGTCAGACTGGTTTTCTTGATAAAGAGACAAATTTAGTCACTAGCTCGGTTGATAATTGTATGTGTGGATATTAATTATGCTTATATTTAGGTTCACATATATCCCTTGGTTATTTTCCTTCAAATGAACGTTTAGTAATTACGAGAGAAACCGAAATTAACTCGAGAACCCACTCAAATGGATCTGTCCTGCTTCATGGCTTTCTTGATAAACGCATTCAAAATAAAACTGATAAGATCAGTCTTGAATTTTACTCAAATCAGGGCTCTCTTATAGAACTATTTCTTTCCACTGTTGAAAGTTTGTACACTGATTATGGAAGTTTGGTTATAAACACTCATAACTGTCCTAATCCTAAGGTACTTCAGTTTAATGACTTTATGTTTTAGTGGAAAACGTTTACCATTTATGGTAGTTATGAAATGTTGTATAGTTTATTCGATAAGCTACAGCACAGTAGTGCGAACAAAGGCGTGCTTCTGACTACCCCACTGTTGAAGTCAATTCTGTATCGATTAACACGAGCTGTAACGGATAGTGACAGTATTTTGGTTTTTACGGCTATGCGAGAACCGTTCACTATGCAAAGTGAAGCCCATAGACGCCTTACATTTACTCACTGGCCTCATATGGATTATCAGTAAGTTGGGTCTTTTTTTAAAAGGCGTCCTTTCATTTAATAATACAGTCAATTCACACTGAAGTGATGCTATATCTAAAAATCTCGATCTTGGTATTATAGTTGTGAATGCAGTAATCAAACCATATCAACACCTGCATTCTCTTGTTTTAGTCCGTCTTAAATTGCTATGTATTGTGTCTTGACCATTCTAAAAATACGTAAATGCAACCTGAACTGAAATTTGAGTACAAAGAAAGCTTTGTTGAGTATGATGTATATATCGTAAAACAGTGTAACTGACTTACCAAGTACCATTTCGTGTAGTCGGTCCTAATGTTAAGAGCTAGTAACGCTACGTTAATACATAAACGAAAGTATACAGGCCATTCAAACCTGCCTCCTGTTGTTGAATAGCTGATTTCCTTAATCACTGGGCTTCTACAATGTATTATCAGAAGTCGAATACTAGAGTTATGGTTCCGATTTTCTGTCATCTTGAAGTCTGTAGAAAACCGCCCCTTAAACTTGACGTTAAGCCTGCCATGGTGGTTCAGAATAATTCCCTGTGGGTATTTTCTTATCAGCTCATGTAGAATAAGAAGTTTACTAGTTGTATTTGTTTCAAAGGGTTTAGGATGATTCTACTCAAGTGACTGTACATTAACTTAAGAGGACTCCACTTCGGTTTTGTAGAATGTCAGTAGGAGAATAGTTTTTGTAACTAAAGATCCATTTATTAATAGTGCATTAAAGGTACAATAGTAATTCCAATTGTGTTGGACTTTATTTTCAGATGGGCAACGCCTTCCACTTTGTCTGAAGCTGGATTTTACTTCCCATTTAAGTTCCCACTTGACATTGTATTTTGTCTTGAATGTTTAGTTAGATTGTCATCTTGGGAACCAACTGATGAGCCATGGAGCGAACATATCAGACATTCACCTCAATGCAGCTTTGTGTCATCTCCAAATTCGAAAAGCATACCTAGCACATGTAAGTATTTAATTTTGAATAGCGGGGTTTAGTCAATACTCGATTTTTTTTCACCGTTATATAAATATACTATTGCATACAGTCTGAACATAAACGTTGGAATCCTTAGGGAATTAGTTTATTGAATTGATGAAGGCACTTCAGTAACCAAGTGCAGGTTAATGTCACTCTTTACATAAGTGTCTGTAATACTATCTGGTTGAACAAATTGTAGTGTGGCCCCAAGTGCAAACTAATGAAACAGCCTATTAGACTTCCACATGTATTATCTACTCTTTATTTATATCTTCAAGTATTGTTTTTATTTTCTCAATTCACTTTCTTGTTCGTTTTAATATCGTCGTTTTCTCTGGCTCTCTTTCTATGGTATTTTAATGTGTGAAAAACCAAGCCAATACTTATTGTGACGTTCTAGAACCTACTATTTGCGAGATGAGGAGTTAGCCCCCATAGGTGTTTTAAACCTAGTAGTTCGAATCTTATACTCAGAAACAGGCTTCAACGTCCTTTAATTGTCTGAGGGCAGGGAATAGCTACTCTCGTTGAGAAATTATCATACTCCTGTGCTTTCACAGCTTCCAATGATATCCTACTCTCCTATCGCGAAAATCAGAGGATGAACCAAAAGTTCTGGTGTTTAAACAGTGTCTTTGTTTGCGAAAGATTCATGAAAAGCTAAACTAATAGTAAACATGAGTCCTACTATCTTGAGGGAAGTAGTAGAATATAAACTTAATTTGTTCTCCCACTATCATTAAAAAGCAAGTTCGGTAATTTTTTCCTAATTTTGTTGACTGCATGTAGACTGATAAATAGCTGCATGTATGCACTCCACCTGGCGGTTACTTGTACATCTCGTATGACACGGGAATTCAGTTGAGCCATTGTTCATGTTTGCTCTCTAACGTGAGGATATTTGACAATTTTCTGTTAAATCATCACTTTTCAAAAGATTAACTTTTTCAGCAGCAACATAGTATATGGTCTGGCACCATATGTACATGTAATAGAACGTTACTGATTACATGGTACTGTTATGTGAACCATAACAATTTTTCACATGTTCTAGACAAAATGTACAGACTATCATCAGTTCGAATAATTGTTTTATCACGTATATTCTATTGTTACCGTTGTTTATTCCTGCAAATGGTATTGCATATGTTACCTAAGTAAGTTGGGTTTGTTTTTCAGTTTCATGGTCAACAGAAACAGCACAAACTCATTCAATATCCAATGATCCTGTAAGTTTAAGTTTTCAATGAATTTCATTAGTCCTTACCTGTTTTTTAACCATCATCATCTTGAAACTTTTGTGGAGATTCCCTTACTATTTCAAGATGAATATTACGGAGCTTTTAATAGTATTTCACATGCGGATACTAGAAAAGCTATGAAAGCATCGAAAATAACGTAAGCATAGGAGCTTTGAAACATTTCACCTATTGGCTAAAAGTAGTGGTATGGTGTACGCTACTTATATACACATAAGTAGTATATAACGATAGTCAGGAATAGAATGTATTTCAGCAAAAGATCGAGAAGGAAAGAACGGAAACGGAAAGCAGTTGGTATGAAAATGCAGGAACAATGAAATCTGAGACAATCGATTGATGTTTTGCAAATTAAGTATTTACTGTATTGTTCTCAGATTTTGAGATACTCTATAATTTCGTGTTCAAATACATTCGATTGTCCTCACTTGTGTTCATGTTCACTACAGTATTTGTCAACCAGTTGACTAAATAATAATTTTATCTACATATTAGGCAGTTTTAGCTTTAATCTTTTTATTTATAGGATTGTTTACTTTTACTTTTAAATTAGTTAGTAAGTCAGTTGTAAGAAACTTTCAGGTGTTCCATTCATAGGATCGTATATTATTTTAAAATATAATTACTGTTTTCAAAAATAGTTATTCCATCGATGTTAACTGTAAATTGTGAATTGTTTGTCGGTTTTACGACTGGAGATCACTTTGTATTTTACTTATTGTTTTAATGTACATAAATTCTAGTGCAGTCGTGCAAGGAAAATGCATAAATCATAAATGAAACGATAAAATTGTGCAAAAATAAAGGATAGGAAAGTGACATAATCACTAAAATAATGAGTAGAAATAATATTTACTAAGAGATACAGTTTATTTAAAAAAACTAAAATGATATTATTACTGTTTTGATGTATTATTGAAGACTCCAACAAGATCACCATTGGCTTCTATTTTGATTCGTATCTGATAACGTCTCAAGTCACTGAGTTCCATTATCTATGGAGCCTTATCCAACGAGTCCTGATGAACCAGTAGAAACCAGTCCTATGGAGCTTCGTTTTGCACTGCGATGCGATTTCGTAAACTAACTACCTTTGCATTTTTCACCCACTGTCAGCGTTGGGAATCGAATCGCAGTGCGAAAGTTTTTGGGATGATCTTTGAAAAATATCACTACACTACCGAAGTCAGCTTTTCAAAATGGTTACTGGTTGAATTATTGTCACTGCCTCTATATATACACATCACCAAACCTCAGTATTACTAGTGCAGGGTTTTCTTGGTTGAACACAAAGTCGCCACACATTGTTACCATGGATAGGCCAGGTTTCACAAACATATAGTGGAACTGTTTTCACGAATGTGTTGTGCAGCAGACCTTTTACAGCTAAACTAACATCAGAGCAACACCAAAGATGGTCCAAAATGACATATGCCGCTAATATAACTTTGAACGGTTTGTAATATGGTGATGATATAACAACATCGTAGTTATGACTATTTTATTTGAAGTAATTAAAGACAGTTTGAATCTGTTAACTGAGGCTTCGTGCTAGTTAGTACTCATCAGCAAGGTTACAGCTTGTAACCTTCATGTGCGATTCTTGTTTTGGTTTTGGTTCATTTTTGTAGGGATGAAGTTATTTTTAAGTTTATATAAAGAGAATTTTTCGAATAAATTTTTATTTTTGTCAGTTGTATGTTTTCTTTATTACGTTCTAAATAATTCAGATCATGGTGCTTACAGCTTCTACATCAAAAGATTTTGTCGCAACTTCAACAGTCGATGGTGGGATCACTGTTTGGGATCTGTCGTACTTCAACAGAGTAAGCTATTTCATCTCCTAAACCATCAAGTGCGTTCGCGAAATGGGACAATAAAAAATCACCTCTTATTAAAGTTTGGTTGTGTCGAACTCATTAGTAAATTAAGTGAACATATAGAGGCTGAATTAATGTCACTGTCAATTCGGGGTGTTCTATAAGCGCTGGTTTGATGTTCTTTCGAACGCATGTATTGGATTCTATTATTTACAACGTAGCAGTAGTTTATTCGTCGAAACATTCAACTTTTAATTATGTTGCATAGATTCGAACTCTACTCCTCCTACTTCAGTTTTAGGAAGTCGTTTAGTATGACTGACTCTCATATGCGACTTATAATGTTAAGTGGTTGAAGGTAGTCTTCAAGAAACCTATGTTTCTTGCTAGTCATGGCTCTTTAGCGAGGCGTATCTGGAGTCTCAATGAAAGTAATTCTCTCTGTGGGTTTCACACTCGTGCCACTAAACTTCACAATCTGAGACAACATAGTGCACTCTATGTCTAGCCGCTTAAGTGTCTATAGAACATCATCAGCACTAAAGGATTGGACAAATATCAGAAGGGGTTTTGTGGATATTATTGACTCATGATCTCAACTATTAAGATTGGACAAATATTTATTATTTATTTATTTGGACACATGAATATTGGTACAGGAGAGCGCCAATATATATGCGCCACACAAAACAATGAAAATTCGAGAGGAATACAAAGAAAAAAAAGCTAAGGAGCGCAACAAAAAAAGAGAGAACAATAACGAAGAGATTGGTGTAAGGTAATGTGCTAGTAATCAGGGAACGCAAAGGTACAATCGGAAGAAATCTTTCAGGTAAGGGAGACAGAACCACTTTTTATGAAGACAAATATCACACTGGTCACTACTTAGTAGTAAATTCAATGTACGTGTAGCTTGAAAAACCCATTAAGTACACGAATTTGTTTAATCGGTTACTGAATTTCATCGAACTACTCAAATTAAACCATTGCCAATAATAATACTTAATGATAAATCAAATGAAATGTTTCGTCAGTCATCTATATTTCTATGATAATTTATTATCATGTCTATATTCTTATTATCACTGTTATCTTATGTCATAAATTTTCAATGCCTCTGTTCTGAAAATCTCCCAGCGTTCATTAGAATTCAATCTTGTGGATGTATTGAATGCTTCGATAGTTACTACTACTACTACCAGTGAAAGTAAGTTAGGTGTATTGCGTTTTTTCCACTAAAAATAATCATTCATATTTGCAAAATGTAAGAAAAACAAGTGTTCAATGCATTTATATTGTAACGTTATTCTAAGTTAGGTCTATGTCTAGTTTGATGGCATGTTAATTGTCGAGGGAGTGTGAAGAGTATTGTGTTCAGGATGGCTTGGAAGAGGTAAGAATAAAGAAAAGTAAACTGATGGCTCAGCACGTAAAATGTATTTATGCTGAATATTGAAAGCTAGCGATAATGTTTAGTTACAACACAAGTGTATGATAATTACAGTCAGATAATCGAAAGTAGGTGATGGTGTGAGATTTTAAATATGTTACAAAATATTAAGCAGAAATGGATGGTGGCTAGCAGTGAAATCCAGGACGCCCGTTTCGTTGGGACTTGTCAGCTGAATGTATCTGCATCCCAGAGTTGTGTTCACTCCGAGAGTCAAACCTAGTACCATACACTCCAGTCCCAAACATCAACGAGAATATCCAAACAAAATATATTTTAGGTCATACTAGTCCTGTTTATTATAACTTACCTTCTATATTAAACACACGTTAGTATCAGACTGTATTTGTCACATGCTATAAAGCGATAGATCGTAAACTTTTCATATACGCGCTTTCATAGGTTATGTGATTGACAGAAATCATAATGTGTTAAGACAAAATAAATAAAAAAAAGATACCGTTAAGCTATTCGGGCTGCCATGCAGAAGGCTGTACATGCTTGTGGAGGTAACCTGCCATTGACAGAGCCATTTTAGTGCACCGCCCGTCTTCCAACCCTTGGAGAAACAGTTTTAGCACCAGGGTTGGATTTATGGACAGGAGCTGATCTGTTCAATGCAGGAGGAAGGCGGTACAACTCCAGGTAGACCTGAAAACTAATGGCTATTGATTAAGGGAGATGTTAAGGTACCTGTACCCCTTAATACAACATGCGAGAAAGAATGTCAACCTTATTTTTGGATACCAACTTAGCTTAATTTCTTCTCACCCAAATCAACACATTTTCGTGAACTCTATTCATTAACTTTCAGCGTATTTCAGTTGTATTTTGCTATTTAATTCTGGGTAAATTTTCTTCTTAGCGGTTATTTTACTATGGTTTTGTATTTTGTGGGTTCGTAAAACTGTAATTAGTAGTCACAACTGATATATAACTGAATTAACCTGGATGTAAATTCAGTCTTCTTTGGTCTTGTCCAATAATTGTTCCTAAGAAGATTGGTTATTTGGAGTAACTGGGGTGTTAGGAGGGAATCGAACTGTCATATATGGTGTCACAGTTGTCGTTCGAGTTATTACTGCATATCTTCCATCTCTAACTAATTACTTAACCGTTGAGTAGTGACCAATCAATTGCAAATTTAAATCTGTTGTAAAGATTTCATTGATCAGTGGATGTTGTACATTGGTACGATATGTCCCATTGATAGATATTCACAATATCCACTTATTGACTAAAATCCTGAATGAACTAATGCCGAAAGACTGTACAACTAACTTATAAAATAAGTTTTTTCTCCATGGAAGTAACATGCTTAAATACAAAGTATTGTTTATCAAAGTAAACATCACTGGATATTATTTAGCAAATAAGCAACCAGAGGGTATAAGTTCTATAGGTCACTCGCGTACCTATAAAGTTTACTGTTAGGTTTAAATTTTTTTCATCTTCGTAAATGAAGTGATGTTTATTTATTTTATTATTTATTTATTTTAACACATAGATATTGGTACAAGAAGGCACCAAATAGATATGCGCCACATAAATCATTCGATTTGTGTGAGGGCTGTGATACTGTCCGGGTGCCCAAACCGAAGCAAGTGATTTTCTTAGGTGGCCACTCCCCGAGCCTTCGACCTGAAGGTTTAACCCACAAGGTAGTGGAGCATCATAAGGAGATGCAGTCCCATGGTAGCCGGTCACCAACAATTGGTTCATACGCCATTTGTTCCCATAGGATACTGAAGCCCATGTACACCATTGGTTTGGAATCCGGTTAAAGCGTCAGACATTCGCTTTTCGTCCTCTGAATTTCGTAAAAAACAGTAATGCCACAAGAAAGCGGTGAGTAAGACTTCCCTGGCAGAGGCTGTATACGCGTGGCCGTGTGAGAGCATTTCGAGAGGGAGGGAGGGCCCACCTCACTCTCGGCCAGACCAGGGCATTTGGGGGCAAAGTGATGTTTATGAATAAAAAAATATGTATAGGAGAAATAAACAGTATTTTTTGTATTTGATTATCATATCATTGTTTATATCATGTAAATACAATTTCTTCTTTCTATACCTAAACTAGTGATTACTAAATCTCAACTACAAGTACATAGTGGATGTCTACTAGTTTCTAATTCTTCTAACATGAAATTTATCAATCTTCCACAACTTCCTAAAATGCATCATTTAATTCTTGGTTGTTGTTTACCATATTCAGTATATAATAAATTACACTCTTGTATGCATACCATGTCAACAACTAATAAATTTGAGAATGTTAAAAATAACAATTTTAAAAAATATCAACTATGCCTTATCATTATTGAATTAACTCCATTGAACAGTGAACAAGTTATGTGGATAGCTGATTCTACTTTCTCTTCAACAACAACAACAACGCCATTTTCTCCTAAATCGATATTTCCTAATCAATTCAATATACATTCAATACCGATAGATCTTGTCAAGTTTCTTCCATCGATTGGTTATGATCATAATAATAATGATGACGATACAATAGAATATGAAGAATTAGGAGATATTGATGATAATGAGAACGAAACTGATAATGATGATTATGAAGATGACTTTGATGAGGAGAGTTCTGACAAGTTAAGTAGCGTACATATAAATAATATCATAACTGATTCAGCACCCAAAGATAATATTTCAACATCATCAGTCAATTCAAAGGTAGTCAACTTTTCAATAAAATATATTTATTGTTTTCTGAAAAACATTTAAATTTATGGTCGAAATTTCGGTTGTTATCTGAAACACTTTCAGTGTTCAGTGAGCATGTTTATGTCCAGCATTCCTGACCATTTTTCTTTCATTTAACTGATGAGCGATGCATGTAAAACTGTACTATTCATCATTCTAGATTTCGTTTCAAACTAACTTGCATGGTATTTTTTGTTTTCCATCCAGCTTATTTGAGTACGTTACACTGACATGTTCATAGCAGATAGTCGGAGATAACTCTATCCATTTGAAATAAATTGTTTGGTAAACATAACACACCAATATGCAGTCCTCGCCCAAAAATCTGTACTGGATGTAACACATTTATTAAACATTGCGAACACAACAGACAACCTTATGAATTTGGTTAAAATAGTGCGTCTTTCAAAGTTATTTAATGAAGTTTAACTAAACTAAAACTGTCAAAATACATTTGAAGAAATTCTATTGTAACAAAAGATAAACAAACAAATGTTTTAAAGAGAGCAAGAACGAAGATTAGTGTAGTATTGTCAGTAGGCAATTCAATGACTTTAGTGGCTGCACCAATGTTCGTTCTTGCTCTCTTTAAGATGATAAAGGGAACTATGTGTATGAAACAAATGTTTGTATAATCTAGGTTAATGATGCTCAAATACGTCTCGTCTTATCTTAGGATTTCAAATAAGTCAAGAGATCCTTTAAAAATCTGTGTAAAAATAACGAAAGGTGAGATGATTTGAAGTTATTTTGAAAAACATGACACTATATCAAATTTAAGAAAAAGTGGCCTTCGAAATTGTTGGGATATTCAGGAAAATATCCCAGAAATTATTCTATTAAGTCTAATGCTATTCTTGGACTTCGAGATGGTATTATTTACTTATTGGTCAGTACTTATTTCACGTGTCCTTTTCCTACTGGTTAATATTGTACAATGTTATTTTCTATTTTATCGTAGGATGTTGTCTGCTTGACTGGTATATAAACAAATTATGTTTGAAATATAATGATTCATAACTCAGAGGCTGTGACTTGCGTTCTGGACTCAACTGGCTGGGCTAGACAGGGAAGCGGGGTCAATCAGAACCCTAGGTCGTTCTACGTGTTTGCGCGTCTTTGGTCCGATCAATAATTCGCTACCCCTTAATCAGCAGCATTTTTCACGTTATAACAGAAATCGTAATCGATTTATTATTTAAGCACTTTGAGAAACTTAACTAGATTCATTTTTAGATAATAAGTAGATAAAGCATCTTATAGGAATCTGATTTTAAGATTTCACTGAACATACGCAACTTAATGGTTAAAAGTCAAGTATTTTAATCTTTATTCAATTACCATTCTACGTTCTTAATCTAGCCATTCTATGGTTTGTTGTTAATGCTGGCTTCACATATCTTGTAAATCTTTACTCCTCTTTTTTTCGTATACATAATTAGTAAACATATCACATAACCCTTGTAGTTATTTCATGAAATGATTAGTATATCTTATATTTTCAATATTGTTTGTTTTCTTTACTTTGATTACAATAGCTTATCGAGAATGATTTTTATACGTATATTGGTTTGTCTAGCGTTGTTGAAGAGTTTGTAAATTTAAAAGCTACGACGGACTGTTATCACACATCTTCAAGCAATAAATTACAACTAAAGAAAATATCTGCTTCAAGTTCATCCAATTTGTCGTCATCAATAAAGTACATTGAAAATAAACGATCTAATATGAATGAAACAACCAGTTCATTTCTATGCTCTGACTATTCTGAAAATAAAAATGGTAAGAGTGGATGTGTTGAGAACTTACCGAAACTTGTTGGTGTCATACCTTTGTCAGTTACTGCTGACAGTACTAATAATGACCTTGAAAATCCTAATTTTCGTATTTTACAAATATCACCACTACCATTGCAAACAATATCCTTCAATAATGGTAATTCCGCTTATTCTCAAGGTATACTTGTTTGTTGTGGCTTGTCAAGATCATTATCTCATGTAAAGCTTCATCATAAAACAACTACTGATAATCAATCGATTGAGGATGGTGATTTATTTTTATTCGGGTAAGTTTTAGTTATTCTGTCATTTATTTTTATCGAATCCATCTAATAAATACGTGAAACTGATTTATAAATACTTCATATAAACTACAGTGCATAGATAAGTCTTGTTTTATTTACAGTACTCTGCATTTGGGACAATAAACTTATTCTATTTCCATGTCATCTTTTTTGCAAGACATACACTCCTGAAAGTTATCACAATTCAAGTACTAGTTTGGACGTGTGCTATGTACACTCCCTGACCCACCATCCTTAACGCTCAACAAGTGATTTTAACCGGTGTACGAGTAGGTTGGAAGAAGGCTATAGGTGACCAACTCTTATTATCTATGCTCCCATATTCGATTTCTTCACTGTTAATGTTTTTAAGCTCATCTCCTTGTACCAATGTAATATGGGTACGTGAACAAACGCTTACTCATGCCCATGCTATACGTTGATTATGCCTGACTGATTAAATTTAGATCCCCGATTGCTTCTCAGTTATTTAAAATCATGTCCACAAAGAAAGCTATTATATTGTAAATGCTAGTTAACACTCATTATTTTTAATCCTGATTAATAATACAGTTTCGTCATTTAGGTATTCGGTAAAAAAATTATGCCCCTAAATGCCCTGGTTCGACCGAGTGTGGGGATAATCCGCGCGCTCTCTCTCTCCTTCGAAGTGCTCTCACATAGCCACATACGTACAACCACTTCCAGGAAAGTCCTGCTCACTGCCTCCTCTCGGGGGGGTATTGTTTACGAAATCCAAAGGACAAAAAGCAAATGTCTGGCGCTTTAACCGGGTTGGTGGATATGGAGGATCCACCTAGGGGGATTGGAAAACTCTGATTCCAAATCAATGATGCACATGGGCTCCAGGATGATGAAGGAACAAATGGAGTATGAACCTATTGTTCGTCTCTGGCTACCATGGGACTGCATCTCCTGACGTTGCTCCATTGCCTTATAGATCAGACCTTTAGGTTAAAGGCTCCCGAAGTTGCCCTCTGAGAAACCCATCTGCTTCAGTTTGGGCATCTGGTCAGTATTCCAGCCCTCACATAATTCAGATGGCGAAGTGTAGTGCACATATATTTGGTGCCTCCTTGTACCAATGTTTATGTGTTTAAATAAATAAATGAAATTGTATCGTTTTTCTTTTAAAATTTTTAGATATAATGAAAATGACTGTATTCTACCTAATTCAGTTGGTTATCACTTAGTTATTGATGAAACTCCACTTTTGCACATTAAATTGCCTGATCACTATTGTCCTGTTCAAATGGATGTGGTATCCAGCACTAATGATCTACATATTTGTTCTTTAAACACTTTATACCCTTCAGTTAAATTACAATATGAATGTGGACAATCATGTGTAGCTGTCAACAATACTACTTCTACTACTACTACTACCACTAATAATAATTTAAAGTTTACCATAGACTCACCTTTAATTACCATAGGAACATATGACTTATCATTTTGTTGTTTCATATTAACAGTATACAATTCATTGTTACAAATAAATGTTTATAAAAATCTATTATGTTATGCTCAAATAATAATATCTAATCCAATCTTATCAATTAATGAAGATAACAATAATAATGAAATAAATAACAACAATATATATTGTAATATACAATTTGATACATTCACATATTGTACTGGTTTAGAAAATATATGTTTAGGCACTGTAAATGGTGAAATGTACATCTATCAATTACATAATCATGAATTATTTAAATATGATATGAATAAACAAAAACGTATTCATTTATATAATTCAATATTACCAATTCATCAACATTATAATGAATCTTCTAATGAGAAAATTGAATTATTCTTTCCTATTCATAATCATAATAGTAGTCATAGTAATAATAGTTATTCATTAAATAATCTATATGCTTATTATAATTGTCCATTAGACCAATGTTTTATTTTATATCAACTTATTAAAACTATTCCATTAGATTCATTAATTCAAGTGAATTTTCCAAATCAAATTGGTTGGTATGAAGTGGAACTTTTTCCATTATTATCTTCTTCTACAATAAAACCTACTACATATAATTCTTTTAATGAAGAAACATTCATTCATAATGATAATAATACAATTCAAATACTTTCTAAATTAGTTACACGTTATATACAATTAGAAAAAGAATCATTTAAGAAATCAAAATTAACTAATGATATATTATATAATATTTCAGTAATATTAAAATGTGCTACATTAGCTGTTCAACTTAGTTTATCATCTAATATATCTACTCATTTATGGGAATTTAATACTAAAAATTGGTATGATTATCAAAATTTAATGAAACAAAATATTGATAAATTGAATATGAATTCAATTAATAAAAATATTATACATAATGATTATGTAATGTTAAATTCTCAGAATATATTATCTGAATATCTATTAGAGATTAGTTTACCACGAGTATATTTAATTTCACATTTTATATTTCATTCAACATTAAAACAGTATGATGTAAGTGATTATGATTATTATTATTATTATTGGGCCCAATATTGAAGTGTGAATCTCTTCAAATGTTGGGTTTTTTTTTGTAAATATGCATGTGGTAACCAACTACTTGATAAGTTATGAACAGATAAACTATCCGAACACAAATTTTATTTATTTATTTGAACACATGCCCCCGAATCCCCTGGTACGGCTGAGAGTGGGGTGGGCCCGCCCTCCCTCTCGAAATGCTCTCACACGGTCACGCGTATACAGCCTCTGCCAGAGAAGTCCTACTCACTGCCTTCTCGTGGAGGGGGTGTTGTTTACGAAAATGAGAGGACGAGAAGCGAATGTCCGGCGCTTTAACCGGATTTCAAACCAATGGTGTACATGGGCTCCAGGATCCTGAAGGGACAAATTGCGTATGAACCAATCGTTGGTGACCGGCTACCATGGGACTGCATCTCCTTACGATGTTCCACTGCCTTGTGGGTTAAACCTTCAGGTCGAAGGCTCGGGGAGTGGCCACCTAAGAAAATCACTTGCTTCGGTTTGGGCACCCGGTCAGTATCACAGCCCTCACACATATCAAATGAGATTTGTGTGGCGCATATGTATTTGGTGCTTCCTTGTACCAATATCTATGTGTTAAAATAAATAAATAATTTTGAACGCATAGATATTGGTACAAGAAGACACCAGATACATATGATTTGTGTGAGGGCTGGGATACTGCTCGGGTTCCCAGACCGAAGCAGATAGTTTCTTTAGGGGGCTACACCCGGAGCCTTCGACCTAAAGGTCTGATCTCCAAGGCAATAGAGCATCGTGAGGAGATGTGGTCCCATAGTAGCCGATGACCAACGATTGGTTCATACGCCATTTGTTTCCTTAGGATCTTGCAGCCCATGTAAACCATTGGTTTGGAATCTGGATTTTCCAACTCCCCTAGGTGGACTCTCCGTGTCCATCAACTCGGTTCAAGTGCCAGACATTCGCTTTTCGTCCTCTCAATTTCATGAACAACACCCTCGCCACGAGAAGGTAATGAGTAGGACTTCCGTGGCAGAGGATACATACGCGTGGCCATGTGAGAGCATTTGAAGAGGGAGAGTGGACTCTTCTCACTCTCGACCATACCAGGGCATTTGGGGGCAAGTCGATACGGTTCAGTGAGTGTCCATCACTCGACTGCATCATATCATCTAGTTCATTCATCGATTAGCATTCTATTCGTTGATTTTATCAATGGAGAAAATCGTCTCCATAAAACTCTTTTGCCAGTATTATCATTATTTTGAAACCCACTTTTTATATTTTAGAAAGTGAAAAATCAATCCGATGTATATATAACTCTTCTAAGAAAAAATATTTCATCTAATAATCCTGTCAGTTTTATTCATAATCCTTCAAAAACCTCAACAAATGCCGACTGTAATGAATTTCATCATGTATCATCAGTTCTTGACCATAGTTTGGTGGTACACGATTTAAACGCCCCATTTATCGATGATGAATACGACTGTACACATTCGTCAGAGGACAAAGCACAAACTTCAGATGACAATATCGACTTCAATAATGCATTACTATCAAATTATTTAAAAAGTATGTTATTTTTGGTAATATAGGTTGATTCAATACTTTTTAGTACAATTGTTTTCTTCTTTGTGAGCATTGTATTAATCAGGTTTAGCATTAGGTTAAAAAGGAGTTTCTGCTTCCAGTTAATCGTTTGGTTTGTATAAACAACTAGTTGAAAAGTAGGTTAAATGTTAAAATCTTGTTAGTATGATTATGTTAAAAAACATTGGCAATGTTTATCCCTTGTCATCGTAAATCATATATATATTAACTGTTATAGCTTGCGGCCTATTAAGATATAACATAATGATACCGCCAATTATACAACATTGGCTTATCGACCGGACCAATGACGTGTAAACCCGTACGAGCAGTCTAGAGTCCTTATCGGTCCTTCTTCCTATCTAGTTCTGCCTGTTAAGTCCAGAACGCCAATGTCAGCTTCCTCTACACGAATCATATATTTCAGACATACTTGGTTTAAATACGACCCAAACAGACTACATCACACCATAAATTAGAAAACAACACTTGTACAAGATCTAGCAATAAGTGGCTGTGATTGTGGAAGACTGTAATTAAAAATCTGGGAATATCTCAAGTATGGCAAATTGTATAATAATAGTTCATAGGTCAAAATAAAGCTTATAATAAGAGTAATATAATTATACATAGTTTAGTTACTTGACAATCACACAATAAAAATGTATGTATAATATTAGTCCATAAAGAGATCCCAACAATTACCATTCATTATTCTCGTCGGGATATATCCTTAACAAATAAAATTTACTAAAAATAGGATGACGATTATATCATATCGTATGTCAAAGAAAATTGCTTAATAATCGAGAATTGATTAGAGATAATAAGATGAAATCAAATGTGAGAAGGGTGGATAATAAATCAAAAACTTGAAAGTGATAACGAATAATTAGAATTAAGAAAGCTTTTTCGTTACTGATGAATTTCACTTATATTAAGCACATAGTGTAGATTCATGTTTATTTACCGTCTAGTAGTAGAATTAGTATTATTCATAGTTATCCGTTTCATGGTTGTTTAGTACTGGTTGCATTTTATCGATCATGCCTGAAATATAAACAATAGACAATGTCTTGACATCGCAACGAAAAATGATATCAGATATTTTGGAGGCAGTCGACGTGAATCCGTTAATCTAGATGTCATTCTAGGTGGTACTCGTCTTATTTTTATCATCAGCTTGGTGTACCTAAAATCAAGAACCGAAGTATCATTGCTGAAATGATCTGTTTGTTTAAACCAGAACATTGGTGCAAAAGGGCACCAAAATATATATGCGCCACAAAAATTCTTGAATTTTTATATATTCTGGGATCCTGTTCAAATGTCCAAACCAAAGCAGATGATTTTCGGGGTGGGGCTACTCCCTGAGCCTATGACTTAGAGATTCAATCCGTAAAGTACTGGAACAACGTTAAGAGATAAGGTCACATGATAGCCAGCGACCGAGAATGGTTTCGTATCCCATTTGTTCCCTCAGGATCCTGGAGCTAATGAGCACTATCAATTTGGAATGAGACTTTTCCAACTCCCGTACTCACGAATCAGGTTTAAGCGACGGGCATTCGCTTTTAGTTATATCAGTTTTGTGAACAACACCCTCTCTGTAAAAATGCAGTGAGCAGAATCTCCCTGGTGGTAGCTATATGCGCGTGGCCATAGGAGAGCACTTCGAAAAGGGAGAGCGAACTGTCCCCACCTTCGGCCGTACCAGGGGATGTGGGGATCATGATAAGTAATGCTAATAGGTGATCAAAAACCATTATGGTTCTGTATCTGATCGTTATATCAATAACCTTGTTGTTTCGACTATTATTACAGTAGATTTTGTTTTAAAATCATACTTATATATATCTGCTTTGTTTGTACTTTTCAGTTCCTGGACGTGTGTATCATATGCCTACTGAAAGCATCATCTCATCAGAACGTCTTCGTGAATTAAATGCAAATATAATTGCTGGTCCATATTTATTAAGTGATTTTCTTAGTATGAATGATCGTTGTAGTAATATCCCAATGACAAGTTCAGAATTAATTAAATCACGTTCACGTTTATTTTCTGTGCATATCAAAATAGTTGATGCCAAAAATGAAGTTAGTGCTTTTCCCCTTTGTTAAATTGTATTTTTATGGAGTACTTTGATTACGACCCCATTTTTCAGAATGTGAGGTTGTAAGCCTGTGATTCAGAGCAGGAATTAGTTACTAGTGAGCCAAGACAGATATATTCCTGTAGTTAGTCACATAATCGATTATTTTTTATATCGTAACTCTAATCTTTACTCAGATTCACTCGCAGTCAGTGGTAAAATTATGTCACATCGACAACCTTGATTGGTTTCAGGGATGACCTTGAGATTGACCAACCGCAATTAGACAATCAGAATAGACCTTTCGTGTAAGAGCCCTGGAATATAGAAAAATGATAAAATTACATAGGATTTGAAGCTTTTACATCATTATTAAACCTATTATTGCTGAATACCAATAATTTAAGCTTTAAGTCATTGTTCTGTAATCAAGAAGAATCCTAGTCCAACATATTTTAAAACCTAACTCCCAACTCCAAAACACTTGACTTCTAACATTCAAACCTCTGAACGCTAGGTCCTAATTCCTATACATAATTCCCAACTTTAGTACTCTTAAACACCTGTTCCGTAGCATAAAACTCCTAAACCCTAACATCGAACCTTAATACTGCTCCCATTAACACCTAAACTAAACATATTGACCTTAACAGTTCATTCCACAAGAAAACCATCATTCAATATTTTTGAAGTACAAAATATTGTGAAAATCATGGGTTTTAGCAACAACCTATCTGCAACAGCGTTTCGGATTTGCCCATCGGCTAGCTTAATTTCTATTGGTCACGCAGGGCCGTTGGTACAATATAATTTTCCTTGGTTAATTGGTTATACTTTAAGTAGTTTATTGTTTCTATAGTCTGGTTCTCTGTAGATGATCGGTAATTGTTTATCTGCGTATCACGTAATGTATACAATATTGGCGTTATGTAGTGTACCAACAGAGTGCCTGGCGAGAATGTATCAATTATCCCATTATTATCACATATCGAGTATCAGTCGCTGAAACAGTAGTTTTTTCAAGGTTACATTCATAAAACAAGAATTATTTCCCACTTACCTGTATGAATGGAAACGTTCACTATTTAGTTGGCTGTTTTTAAAACAGAGAAAATGATGTAAACCACATATTCACCTGCTATTTAGGGAACTGATGGATCCTATGGGATTCGAACCTGGATTACCAAGCACCACAGCCTAAAACGCCACTGAGCTATTCGGACAGTGACTGTCCTTCTGTAGAACTAAGCTGTTTGCCAATACTTGATCACAGACTGGTGACTAATGTTAAATTTATATAGTCCTTCTAATTGTTGATCAAATTTTTTCAATCATGTTGTAATATGGTCACTAGTCATAGTGACTGAACATCGCTTGTATTCTGTTAATGTGTATGTTGATTCGTTGAATGTAGTCAACAAGAGACCTTGTATCTAGATTTATCATTATATAACGCGTTTATTTATCTATTTATACAAGTAGGAAAAGAATATTATTGTTGGGGATGTTAAATCCTCAGAACTCACTTGGTAAATGTCTTGTTTTTGTAATTTTATTTTGGGAATTTGAATTTCTTGTTTTCCCGCCAAAAGCGCCCATTTTCATCTTCATGTCCTATTTACCATTTGGGAAGACCTTAGATGTCATTAATTCGTCGTCTCTTTTAATATGCTATTTTGTAACTTTTCCCAACGACATTTTTATGCTGTATATATACTCTTGAATTATGCTAGTGGTTGTTGTTCGTACTTCTGGCTGCTTGTGAAATACATTTCCCTCTTCTGAACCTGGACTTCTCTCGCTGATTAACGGGGCTGGGATGCATCGGAATAGTTCGATTATTTGGTCATTGTGTCACTGAGTCTTCGTTCCGTTCTCAGATCATGTGAACTCATAATCTCTTCAAGCATAGCAGTCATGTTATCCTATCTTGTTTCCATTTCTTTTAGACTTCTTCAAATCTTGATTGTCAGTCGGCTACTTCAGTTGAAATTCAACAACCACCTTTATTACTGTCTGATATATTTGCACAAATTGGTCTAAGTGTTCATCAGTTTAACACCACCTGCTACTGTTATGACCATCCTGCTCCCCCTAATGATTTTGTTAATGAAACAACATCGTCATCATCATTATCAACTGATCAGCTTACAATTGTGAATGATATTGATAATGATGGTAATGGACATACATCATTAAAGTCGTGTAAAATGCATACAATTTTACATGAAAGGGCTCAAATTTTAGCTATTCTACGCTCTATGAAACTTCATGAAGATTGTTTTAATTTCCTTAGCTCAACTGATGGTACTTGTAAACATAATAGTAATAATAATAATAATAAATGGAGAGACTTTCTTACTCAAAACTCCTACCATCATAATATCAATTTTTCGTCAATTATTCTAGATATTTTGAATTGGGTTGTGTTAATGTATCTTCATGAGTTAGAATTATCATGGTAAGTTTCCACTTTCCTAATAATAATATTATTTATGATGATGGTATTCTCAGTAAAGTTAGATAATAGCTACCAGTGGAACCCAGAACACCCGTCTTGTCCTATTTGAGACTGGTCAACTGGATGTATTTGATATTTACTCAACCATTCAAATTTGCTTAAAATGCTTGTAATTTAATGGCAATTTCAAGGTAATCCACATATGTTTGATGGCTAACTGTTTCACAGTGGACATGGTTTAGCTCCACTGGTTATGATTTCTGTGAAAAACATCTCGGGGAGTTTCCTCTAGAATGTAGTCACCAGTGAACATATGATAATTGTTAGTGTGGGATTATGGCAGTTGTTGAATTTCATTAGAATCATTATCTAACTTAGAGGAAGTGTTCGCACGCGAGACCGAAGGTTTGGGTTCGAGTTTAACGTGCGCTATCGTGGATCATCATTGTTGAAAAGCCTCATACTAGAACAAAATGACCCTTCCTTACGTCCAGGTTTTCAATGTTAGTTTAATTTTGATCGGTTCATAATTTCAATGAAATTGAACAATTTTCACAACTCCATACTGACTTTGGTATTTATCTTAATAATTACATTTTATTGTGTTGATATGGTATGGTAACCTTCACTGCTGCGTATATATGTCAGGTTGTTTGTTGTTTATCACTGACTGACCGGTTTGTTGTCTTTAATAAATAAATATAACTTGCAACTATCTTCACCAACTTGTTATTCACTGATTTGGTTAGGTTAATATTCAACTTACAGTTTATACTGTATAATTAATATTATTTTCATTTGTTAATTTTAACCTTATTTAGCGATATCGTAGCGAATTTATTAAATTTGGCTGCAAATAATTATGAGATGTTAATTGAAAATGTAATTGTACACGGTGATCGTGAATGTGTTCAACTTGGAACAAAATTATTGTTTAGTTTACTCAAGTAAATTCTTGGTTATTTTCATTAGTTTCCTAATATTCGTATACTGTTGTGGAAAATTGTGCTATTCATATAATTTCTATCTCACAAATATTAATTAAATTAGTGAGTTATAAATCTATTTGTTAAAATACATCTCAGTGGTGGTATCTGTGACTGTGAGTCAAGTTTAATTACATTGAGAGGAAAGTTGTTTGAGCATTAATTCTCTCCTAGATTACGAATATGATTTGATGACAATTACTAACACCGAAGTTTAGATTCATGACCGATTGGTTTCAACTATCTAACACTAAAATATGGTCCACATGTTTTCGAAGCTAATGATCACATTGTAAATTGGTCGACATAACACAATCAATACTAAGAGTTAAATAAACGTGACATTAGTTACAGCTTAGTGACCAGTCAATCTACATTTATTCTGTTTGTTTAATCACATGATCTTTATGGTGTTCGCCTTTGTAAAGCATTCAAATAATATACTACAGTCTACTAGTACTTTATACATTCCCTCATTTCTCAAACACTAAAGCTTTCAAATGTATTTCCGATATTTTTTATAAGCAGTATTACTTAATTGTAGTTTTAAAAAATAACCCAGTTTGAATATATCTTTTTATCAGTCATGACTGATGGACATAGTTGATCATCGTTCAGTATTTCTTATTCTCGCATCGAGCATACTATTACCTGTTGGTTAAGGAGTTTAACTTCCAGTTGCTGGCTCGAAACCTACCCCACGTACTTGTATTTGGGTAACCACATAGTATCACTAGCTCTCACAATTGGAGTTTGGGTCAAAACTAAATGCCTAAGTCTATATCTAGTAATAAATGAGGTGTCATTAAATCAAATTACCAAGAATTCGACATTTTTAAGTAGGGTTCACAGATTACATGATATAATGTCAGTCAGTATATTCACTTCAAGTCATTGATACACTATCCGTTACTAGAGGTTTTAACCTGCCTACTTTCTCATGTATTTTATACGAATAACCTAGAAAATGTTCAACACAAAAATAACCATTAGATGAGGGTTTTCGTATTGATCGGTTGGTCATGTTGTTAAGGTACTGTGTTTGAGTATTTATTGGACAAACTCTGGATACATCTAGTTTGTACTATGCCGATTTTTATTTCTATAATTTTGTTTTTCATAGATTAGAATTTGTCTTCCTAAAATATTGCTCTTCAAATAATTCATCATATAAGAAGCCAATGGTTTTCCATGTATTACGCAATTGTCTGTCTACCGATAGTAAAACTACTACTGATAATAATAATAATAGTAGTAATAGTAAATTCATTCGTTGGTTATTAATTTGTCAAACATCAGCTGGATGTGAAACATTATTCAGTTTATTGGATTTCATCATTTCTTATTCTTTTGATGAATATCGTAATAATTTAAATGATTTAAAGGTAAAATTGTTATTACAAAATAATTTAATGACTTTACTCAATACAGTTTCATTGTTTCATGAGGATTTCAATCGTCTACACCCGTAAGTATTTATTTTGATATTGTTCTTAGTATTTCTGTTCAATCGCTTTTTTTCTTCAGGGGATTGTAAACATTGTATATGAAAGTTATGTTTGAGATAATCTCAGTAGTTGAAATTAAGTTATTCAATTGTAACGTTTTATCCAAAACAACGTGTCTGGATTTCTTCAGGGCGATCATGAAAACCAATTTCTGTCAAACTATTCGTTTAAATGTTGAAGAATATTCGTACAAATAAATAGTAGTTCTCATTCTTGTTTAATGACTGTGAGGGTGACGGAGGACCCTTAAGAATTGTTCACCTGTCTTTGTTTTTGAATTTCAAATAATCACCCAATCATTGCATAGACAATGTTGATCATTATTCGTGTAAACTTTGTGTAACCCATTTTTAAGGCTCTGTTATGTGGGAAGTTTCATGTGTTGCACTTAAAATTATCTTCAGTGTTCCAGATTAATTACAGAATGAACAAAGTTTTGATGGATGATATTATTTGCAAGCAAGCGAGATAATTAAATTATGAAATTTAAACTGTTTCATTGTGATTTACATTGCACACTGGCTTCAACTAGATAATTATTAAGAACCAATTTTATTTATTTGTTTGAACACATAAATAATGGTACAAGAGGGCACCAAATATATATACGCCACACTTTGTGTGAGGGCTGTGATACTGTCCGGGTGCCCAGACCGAAGCAGGTGGTTTTCTTAGGGGGCCACACCCCGAGCCTTTGACCTTAAGGTCTAACCCACAAAGCAGTGGAGCATCGTAAGGAGATGCATTCCCATGGTAGCCGGTCACCAACAATTGGTTTATACGCCATTTGTTCCTGCAGGATACTGGAGCCCATTTGCATCATTGGTTTGGAATCCGGTTAAAGCGCCGGACATTCGCTTCTCGTCCTCTCATTTTCGTAAACAACATCCGTGGTGCAAGAAGGCAGTGAGTAGGACTTCTCTGGCAGAGGCTGTATACGCGTGGCCGTGTGAGAGCATTTCGAGAAGGAGGGCGGGAACACCTCCCTCTCGGTAATACCAGGGCATTTGGGGGCAGGGCCAATAATAACCATACAATCGTCACTAACCTCTTATAATACTAATAGGAAAGTTGTTTTTTATTGTTAAAAGAGATATGAATTCCACTGTGGCAAAGAACAAACAAATATTCAATAACAGGACTACAGAACCATTCATTTTTTACTATCGATTCTTGTTATCTCGGTATAATCTGTTCGTTATTATCTATATCGTACTAGTTACATAGAATAAATGCCAACAGTTAAGTGTTGGAGTGCGTTCCAATCTACTTGAGACTTTTCAGTTGGATTTACCTACCTCCCCCCATTGTTTATTTTCACATTAAGACTCTAATACCAGTAACACCAACGCGTTATCTATGGAGCTACTGAAACTAGATAGTAATCCATTTGTCTAGGGGATATGCTATGTTATTATTGGCAATTTTATATCGAGGCAATCCATACAAGATACACATATGCCAACTTAAGGTGATTAACATAGTCAGTAAAGTTTTTTTTAACCACAGGATAATTCAAATCCATCATAACAATAATATATATATACCACTGTAAGTTATTTCATCTAGTGGATCGGATTGGATCAGTGGTTTAGTGAGTTCAATATTTAGCCACTGAGTTTTGGGGTCAAACTAGGCTCCTTTTTTTCAATTCAAAGACATTGTCTATCATTCTTAACATGTATGTACCTGATAAATAAGTTGAACTTACTTCCGCCTGTTACTCCTAATGGAGCATAGACCGGCGACCAGCATTCTCCAACACACTGTGTCCTGGGCCTTCCTTTCTAATTCCATCCAATCCTTGTTCATTTTTCTCATGTCTGTCTCCATTTCTCCAAGTTTCCGCTCCATACAGTAGAACTGTGTTGACATTTGTATTGAAAATCCTGACCTTGGTGTTGGTTGACAGTTGTTTTGAGTTCTAGATGTTCTTCAGTTGTAAATATGCTGCTCTTGCTTTACCGATCCACATCAGATCCATCCTGTTCATCAATAATGCTGCCCAAATATGTAAAGGTTTTTACATCTTCCAAATCTTCTCTGTCAATTGCGATTGGATTGGTGCATGCTGTGTAATAAGTTGAATGTATATTAAAAACTATTGCACATATTCATTTCTTATTTTAAATTTATGTTTGTTTTATTTATTTATTAATTACAGTTCATATCATTTACCTACATGTCTTGGTCCACCTATGCTATTCAATCTACCAATATGTAATTGGACTTTCTTAGGTTCTGAATGTTTACAATCAACCAATAATAATAATAAATATCAGAAATCATTTCATTCAACAATTCCAAGTACTAGTAATAATAATACTACTACTAATACTAATACTAATTCTAATCATAATATAAATTTAAATTATGAAAATATTAAAAATTGTTATTCTATTAATAAAGATGTAATGAATTTTAATGGTATATTTACACCGAAAAATTATATAACATTTATATCTGATTCAAAATTCAATGATACTATTGATTTAGCGCAAAATACAAAATTAATAGAAACATCAAATCATTTACAAAACAATGATAACATTGATAATAATAATAATAATAAGGATTCATTATATCTACTCTCATCTAATTATTCATCTGATGTATCCTATATTAATTTCTCTGATATTTTCACATTAATGCGAAGTAATTTCATTATGAATATTGATAATTCAAATAATATACATCATATTATATTATCAGATTTACAAGATTGGCCATTCAATGGTATATTAGATGTGGAACCATTAAAATTTCCTTTAGATAAATTATCAATTCAATTAAATGATGATTGTGATATTGAACGTGTGGATTTTTGTATGTTCATTTTTTTTTGTTGGTTTGTTTTCTTTGCATTTTCTTGAATTTAAGTAGTATAATCTATATGAATAGTTTGTCAATAGTAAAACGAATGGTTTGATTATAGTCTAGCTCTGAATGTAGAGAAGCTATTATTATTTTAAATAATCACAACGATTGAGATTTGAATGATTTCAACATTTCGTCCAACAAACTTGTTTAGATTTCGGGTTGTCTAATTGAGCCCTCGTATTTGAAGTGTAACTCAATATTAAGTAAATGAATTTGTGCCATGTAATGAGTTAATATAATTATAATCGTTACGTCTTTGATTCTCCGGCCCATTAATTTGTGCTTTATATAAAGAAAGTTGTTTCGATCTAGTTTATGGCTTTAACGTGCCTAGTACAATCTCTGGTATTACTACTCATGTGTTCGATTGTAACTCATTGGCCTTGAGGGCAAAGGGAAGAAAATTATCCGGCACGTGCAACATATATGAACAAACCAGTCAAGTTTCTGCACGAAATTTAATCATGCATTGTTGCTAATGTCAGTTCGTGATGAAAACCTTAATAATTCTATATTTAAATATTCATTGTTTATGTTACATTTGTTAATATCTGTTTTCACCATAAATCGTTTCGTAACTAAACATTCTTTTCTCACTGAATAAAATGTAGTTCAAGGTCGTTCACATACTTCTAGTATCATGCCAATGGCCTATGACTGAATGGTTGGCAAGTAGAGCGAAAACAATTCAGCTGTCCAATTTGTTCCTAATTCACATTAACTGGAAAAGACGCGTAAATAAGGTTCCGACTAACTAGACCACAACGCGCAAGTAATGAGAAAATTACAACCATATTCAAACTAGGACAATAGAGTAAAAAGATGAAATATAAACGTCACTTCTCAATTCATTACAGTTGATGAAACTCTTGGAAAATGTAAACTGCCACCTAAATTAACAACTTCACTCATTGTAATCAAAATGGTTGTACATCTTTCAGTTTCTAATTTTAATCTCCATAAATTTTTTGGTTGAACAGTATACTGGGCATAGGGAATATCTCGTTTCTAATTAAAATTTATGGGTTCAATTTGAATGTCATTAAGTTAGTGGTTCGAAACTCATATCACCTACATCAGTTTGGGTGATTGGATAAAATCACTAACCTTTAGTCATCAAATATTTCTCAGAATTGAGTATACAAACATGTGAATCTTTAGTTGCTGAATTATATAAAAAATAAATTAATAAAATTACCGTTATGTAGGTATAATGACCCTAATTGAGAAGTAATCCTTTTTACTATTTGTTTCTCGTTAATATTTAACTATAAATTCCGCTTATTTATTTTACGTAAGAATTTTAATGCTTTTATACTGTTGAGTATATATATATTCAGATTAGTGAGACGAATAATCTGGTGGTTACGATACAGGGATATCAATCAATAGGTCACAAGTTAGAACCTAACTTCATTTCATTCAGTTTGAACAAGCATTACATATACTGTGTACTTCCAAGTCAAATATTTTAATATTTAACTGATAATTGGTGATAATAACTATGTTACAGCACATTAGTCATAATTAACGTAACACCTGAAATCTATGTTCATCAGTTCAAATTGCTACACTATATCACTACAGTTGGATGAAATTACGAAGACAAATGCGATAGTAATACAACTGTTAACAATATCAATAGTATTAGAAAAGGTTAGGGATAGGCAATATAAATTGAGAAAGAAGAAAGAATTTTCGAAATATAAAAATATGAGAGTGAATTTGTCTTCAACGTATTCTAAGCTTATACATTCAATGTCTCCAATTTTTGGTTACGATAATCGCGCAGTTTACACAATTAATAAATACAGATTCGTGTACTTAATTTTAAATCATATTTTTTGTGTGGGAGAAGTAATGATTATTGTGTAACTCATCAAAACCAAAATCGGCGACATGGAACTCGAAACTTCAACCCTCATTTTTGAATGCCTTAACCACTACACTCGTCCTATTTGATAAATGAGCTCCGCTTGTCTATTTTCTGTCTAAATCATATTTCCTTTTTGTGTATTTATTAAATAGTTTTCTGTAATTTAATACATTTTTTTCCTTTTACATTTTACAGTTACTGGTGAACAATTACCAATAAATGATAATAATTCTTATGTAATAAAATTCAATGAATCACAAGTTGAAACTAATAATGAAAATCATCAGTTAACATCTATTATATCTCATCTCATTAATTCCATTGAAGCTTATCATTTAATAATATCTCGTATGCATCCAGGTGCACATCGTTCAGTTACATTTAGTACTTATTCATCATCAATAAATTATTTAACTGATTTAATTATTCCAATGAATCCTTGTTTACAATGTATTACATTAGAAGCTATATTCATAGATAAATCATTCAAGAAACCAATAAATTCTACAAAATTAATAGCTGTATCTACTGATATAAGTCATTCTGCTTTAATATTACGTGATATTTATCCACCAATTAAATTTACTCATTTACGTATTTCTATAGTTGGTCGATTAGATTGTCCATTCACTAAAGCACGTATTCATTTAGGTGCATATTTTGGACAAAATGGTATATGGGAACAATTTATAAATCCTTTAATGAAAACAAATTCTAATAGTATTGATTTAATACAATATTTAGAAAGTATTGTATTAAATAAAACAATGAACTACATTTCAATTCAACAATGTTTAATGAATACATTAGACCAATTTGATAAGAATAAAAAAATGTAAGTTTTTTTCACAATTGATTGATCACTGGGTGGTGATCAATGTCATGCTTGTTTAGTCCTTATTAGTGCAGATCGAATGCTATCGATCATGTTGCATTGTGGCCACCTGTCTAGGTGACTCGACACTGCGGGCACTATGTATTGAGATTTAGATGGTGGTTGGAGGTAGTCAACAGGAAACCCTGGACCCGGGTTTCGTGCTACTTGGCACTCGTCAGCAAGGTGTACCTGTAATCTTGAGAGAACTGGTGCTCCCTGGCGGATTCGATCTCGTGTCACCCAGCTTCACAGTCAGAGACGTTACCACTGAGGTATCCGAGCCATGACTAACCTTCTGTAGGACTGAGATGTAATCACAATTGATTGATCACTGGGTGGTGATCAATGTCATGCTTGTCTAGTCCTTTTTTACAATTCAATTACTTCATTGATAAATAAAGATAATAAATGGAATTAGATATTATGAAATTAAACTAAATATACATTATATACTATTTAGAAAAGGAGAAAAAAAATCTGATGCGAGTCATCATTTGTTATTTCTAGTCGATAATCTATGGTGAAGTGAATGAACCTTGATCGATAGCATTCGATCTGCACTAAGAAGGACTTGACACACATGACATTGATCACCAACAAGTGGTTAATCAATTGTGAATACATCTCAGTAGTCCTACAGTAGGTCGGTCGCGGCCCGGATAGCTGGGTGATTCGGGGTTGAATCCGTCAGGGAGCACCAGTTCTCTCAAGATTACAGGTACACCTTGCTGTCGAGTGCCAAGTAGCAAAAAACACGGGTCCATGGTTTCCTGTTGACTACCTCTAACCACCATTCTATCTGAACCTTGTTTCTGTTGTATTTGTAAATATGTCTGTATTGGAGTTAGTCATATGAACAAACTAGAAAAATAGTAGGTTTTTACAGATTGTGTAACAAATGAAATTCAGAACTCACATTTCATCTTATTTTGTACTCATCAGCTGGGTGTACTTTCTACATTCTAGTGTTAATGTTCACACTGAGACTTGAAATTTTGTAACTTGCAGTTCAAAAACCAAATGAGTTATCTGTGCAATAAGCTATTAAGCCAAGAAATCCACTAAAATGTTCCATATATATGATCTTATTATTACAAATAGTGATAGTGGTAGTATTGAAAAATAAAATGTTTATGTTACGTAATAATCTTAGTCCTGTTTTACGTGATTGATAAAAATTGTTGATTTACATCTGTTTCTTGCCATTTTCAAACATTTTTTAAAACTTCATTGTACGTTTTCGTTCTGTAATTTGAATTTATCAAATATATTAGTTCATCATAAATTGTATTCAACCACGTCTTCATAAAGTAGTCACTCACTAATGACATTGGAGGATGGTTAGACGGATTAGACGAAGTTGGACATATAAACCATTGGATTTTGGTTTATTAGTCTAATGGTTAAGTGCTCACATTGATACCTGAAAGTTCTAGGTTCGATCGCTGGTTGGGTCGTGACTGTGCACTGTCGAGGAGTCCCGTAGTGGGACGAAATAGCTGTCCAGTGCTTCTTAATTTAACTACGTGTAGTATGTTTTTTAAACTGGAAATCTTACCTTTGGAGGAGCGTGTAATGAGCTATACTTGCTCCATTTGCATTGTAATCTGACTGAACTTCGTATAAATCGTACATTTAAAAAAAGCATTTCATTTTGAACCAGGATGTTCCGATTTTCAACATAAATTTAGGTTGAAACTGTTGGGGATTACTAATAAACCTTCAATAATGAAAGTATATTCAAAAAGCGGTATATGAACCCATACTTTATTCTGCTTTTCATCTATAATAATAATGTAGTTGTCAGTGTTTGTTTTTTCAAATTCGTAATATTTGGGACTGCTATTGATCAGTCTCCATTAAAACATGCACATTTTGAGTACATATTGTCATTTTGTCTTAATTAAGATAAATTGTACGATAAGTCGCAAGCTCATAACATAACAACTAGTCAATACTCTCGGATTGTTTTCAATCAATTCTCCGGGTAATGTGGAGCAGTTCGTGATGTGACTTGTCTCATTCTCCTTTCAAATTGAATTAATATCTGTATGCAACCCAACCTGAATACAACGTTTATTCTAGTCTTTCTGATGGGACTGGGTTCTCCCTTTGTTATATTAAGCAAGTTCGGGATTTAACCACTACTACTACTACTACTGGTACAATATCGTAATTTCCTGTTCATCTTCTTTATGACTCTGTTAAGTATGTTTATCTTCCTTTTTTCATTTATTTTTGTGTATATAGATCCAGTATATCATTAGATAGTGATAATATCCAAATATCATCACTATATAAACAATGCTATAATTTACAATATCAATTGAATTGGATAGATCGTACATTGAATCGTTTAAGAAAAATATATCAACCTGAAAAACTGCGTGAATATAAGAGTCGAATTCATCAAATGGTTTGTCAATTATTAACCCTTATTTTTATGTAATTGTTACTATTCGTCTTGTTAACTTTTTTTTCTATCTTACAGAAAATAATTGATCAACTTAGTTTCTTGGACAGATGATGATTATGGTTATCAGACTGATAAATGAACTCTTATCAAGACTTTTCCTGTTCAGAACTGAATACATCACAGACAGCAGAGTCACTGTTCAGTTAATTTAATAGATGTTGTAATGAATTAGTTCTGTCATTGAATTATTGAATAATTAATCAGGATCATGTTTGAAGCATTCAACTATTCCTCGAGAAGGTCTTTTAAAGCTCAGAAAAAGGCTGAAAATACTGTTCATTTAGTGTTCACTGGAAACTGTAGATAAATCTGGAAAATCAATGAATTGTGTATCAACTCTTCACGGGATAAGTACCGATTTTTGTTTACTAAACTTAACATATTTCCAGAAGCTTCAAAGATATCAAAGTTACCCATAGACCTACGAATATTCTTGTTCTTGTATCTAAAGTAACCTTGGAAGTAAATCTTCGTTATACACTCCCCACTTTTTGTTTTTCGTTCGAAGTTCAAGTATAAGAGATTTCTTGGGAACCAGGGAGCAGTTAAAATGTCAGCATTAGGCGTTCAAGTTTGAAATCGCTGGTGCGTTACAGTTTAGACCTATCCAATAGGATTAATTTTCCAACCATAAAAACTCTGCAATTAATTACTTTCTATTCAATATCACACGGCAATCTGTTGTACGCGCTCACATCGATTTATTCCAGATAGTGGTGGCGGAGTAGTTAAGGCGTCTAACTTTTAACTGCCAATTCCCGGCTTCCAACCGCTCTCCACTCACTTTGATTTGACAGCTGGATCGTACGATTAACCTTTACACTTAAAATGTAACCCAGACCTAAGTACCTAATGAATAAGTTAATTGAATTTAAACTTATATTACAGATTCTTCGGAGTCGTATTCCATATAAATTAGGTTTTAAAAGCCCTGATGAAAACAACTTCAGCTCTTAGTCCAAAATGCTTACTTCGACGTCTCATTCTGGTTGGTTCGAAGGTAGGTTGGAAAAAGGTTACATTGACTGAACCATGACGTGGCATAGATCGAGACCGATTACATTGTTACAGATGTGTATTTTGTTTACCTTCCCTTATATATTGATTTTCGTACTTTTCTTTCCCTGAGTACATTGCTTTTTGATCCCCATCTTCTATGTTCAGTCTTCCTCATCATCATTTACACTACTGTTTTTAATCAGTCTCTTTTCGTCATATATGAATCCTGTGCGGATTACCTCGGTATAGGCGTTAGTTGAAAAACTTTATAAGCAGAGTTTGATAATGTCTAGCAGTGAAGTCCAGCTGATGAGTGCAAAATTGAACGAAACGCGCACTGTAGATCTCATTACTAGCCACCATCCATCTCTGTCTTTAAGTTTTTTTTCTTTAACGATATCTTTTTTTCTATACATATATTTCTCAATTTTGTTTAATTTTAGTCTAATGAACAGATAAGAATGGATTTGTATCCAGATAAAGTGAAGTATGTTTTGGAACATTGTTTACTGTGTTTGTTAAGTCATGCAAATGAAATCTGGTCAGTGATAGAACCTCTTTCATTATTATCCCAATCAACAGGAGTTTCACCATTAGACGATGATGATTACACCTTTTTAAATTATGTTGATAAGTGTTGTACAACATTTTTAAATGATATGATTATTCATGGTAGTCGTTCAATGCAAGTAAGTTATGTTTCTTTTTTGTATGTTCTTTCTTAATAAAAAAAGACTGTCTATTTTCGTATGTCTCTCTCTTGATAACATATATTTTAATTTAGATTTTCATAGATGGTTATCGTTTTTTATTGTTGTTTATCTCTAATCTATAAGTGTTCCTGTGTGATAACTTCAGATTAATGATTAGTCAGACTACTTTGATTTTCATGATGTCCTAGTTTTCGTAGCCGTGTAACTGACGAAAAATATTTCAGTACAACGATTATAATAATCTTAATAGATTTTACCAATTCTAGGCACTTTATGACCAGAAAATGTTGCCTATCTTCCACAATTTACAACATGGATTAATCATAGTTAGACTCTGGATAGCTGTTTATTCTTTGTCAGTATTTCGTCATTTACGCTCTGGTGATTAGGACATGTATCACCGATTCTCATCCATTGCCAACTTCCACGTAAAATTACTGTTGGGATAGGAAAAGAAAAAGGCTAGAGGTGGCTAAATCAAAACTAGGAATTAATTCATGAAGTTATTGATTATTAGTTTGAGCTGTTTCAGTAGGTGAAATATATCTGATTAATGTCTACAAACTAATTGTCATTTACAGTGAAAGACATCAGTTAACATAATTCTAAATCTATTAGAATTGAGTACATGGATTCATTGCTTTATCTTCTATTGAATCTTGAATCTTAATTAAATCTGTTTTATCGGAACTAAAAGTAAAATTCATGATGGGCACTTTTTCCTATTTGAAAATTATCAACTAAATTTCATACTGTTGAGTCTCAGCGTTGGTGTTCATTTTAAAACTCTCTTCAAACGTCAACCTGTTGCACACAACTAAGCTACTGGATCCAGTTTTTAGTGTGAATGATATTTCTTCTTCATTGACGTTTTTATTTTTCCTATATGTTAATTATTAGGATTAAATATTATAGATTACAACCAGTACTTGAGTTAAAATATGTTACTCTACACCTTTTATTCAAGAATTATGATGATTCAGCGAAGAAATTTTTTCTTTCCAACTATATCATTTACTCAAGCTGTACAATCCTATTTATAGTTGATTTACACATAAAATAGTCTATTGAAGAATAGGAGGACAACTGCTTCATATCATGTGTTAAAGACAATTGTTTAATAATCGAGAATTGATGAAATCAAATGTGATAATAAGAAGGATGGAGAATAAGTCAAAAACTTCAAAGTGATAATAACGAATAATTAGAATTGAGTGGATATAATAAAATTATGTTACCATTTATGAAAATTTAGGTGTTAGGGCCATAGAAGAATGATGGCTTGCACGTATCTCTTTTGCACCTAGAGCTTAAGCCTAAAAAGTAGGATTACTAGCCTACCTCCAGTGCATAAGTTGTCGATTTATGCTTTTTTTGGATCAAATCGTCCGACTGGCTGTTTATTCTTTAGTTTCATTTAATTTCTTTAAAATTGCAAATTCTATTATTATTTTAAATTCTCTGTTGATTTCATTTCCTTATATGGATGGAATTTTTGGAGGACTTCACTCTATGCACATTTACCTCACCTTTAACATTGTTCATGGTTGTTAGATAGGTGTTCATCAACAAAAACATTGGGTTCCACAGGTTCAAATCTCACACGAGAACGTTGTTTCCCCCCAAAAAAATTCCAGGTATGCTTAGGTAACAAGTACCGATTAACACTGTCTGTAACCACATAACATGTTAGCCTAGTGCACTCAATAAGAAGTCATTTGAATTAGTGACATGACATTACTCACTAATTTAGTGACCCCTAAATTGTAAATTATTCATGACTAGCTGACTGATTAGATGTTTTTTTGTTAATGTGAAACATGCTACTGATATATATATATATATATATATAATATCTTAGGTTATTTTGTCTTGGTTAATTTTATTGCAAGTTTCTATATTGAAATGGATTATTTTGTGTGTTTTTTTTTAAAAAAATCTATGAACAGATTCTTACAGTTGGATTAATGCCGATGTTTATGAAAATCAACTCAATTATTCTACCAATTCATCATACTGATCATAATTATCTTTATAGATTCATTAATGAATTTTCTACATTGAAAAATAATTTCTCACTAATAAAATCGAATGATTTACAAATTGCAGTTACTAATGAATCTAGACAACAACTATTATTTTGGGCTATATTACAACGTTTAATCCATTCTGGAATGTCTAATGATCTATTCCATACTTCTGTATATATTCTTCATGATATATGGAATTCCATAGATAAAAATAATAAAGAGGATTCTTTCAACTTGGAAATGTTTCATAATATTCTAATAATTATTGATACAATCATAGAAAATAGTTGTTCATCACTACTTACTGTTCATAAATCTTTACATGATTTTTTAACAGTATTAAATATGCGTCAATTATCATATAATGGTCAAATAGATATAAATGGTTTATTAAAATGGCATTATTTTCATCAATTATATAATAATGATCGATGTAATGCTATATATCCTTATTGTCAAACAATAAATACTAAAATAACTGATGGTATTTATAAATATAATTTATTATCACAATATCAATTGTGTATTGTTTCATTTTATCGATGGCATTTAGAACATTTAGCTAATTTATCAACTCAATATGCAGGTACATTTTGTTGACCTTTTTTTTTCTCTTGTTTTATATCAAATCATTAATATTTCTCAATTTAATTGTTTATTATTAAAAGGGGTTTTGTAGAGATTGTAATAATTTCAATAGTTGAGATCATGAGTCAATTGAAGCTAGACCGCCATGGAAAACCTGGAAGTACTGGACGGTTGTTTCTATAGTGGTCTAGCTTCAATTGACTCATGATCTCAACTATTGCAATTATTACAATCTCCACAAAACCCGTTCTGATACTAATCAACATGTGCTCACTAGTGACTGGCTTCAAGAAGTATATCCTGGAGTTCTAGTGAGAAGCAATCAGCAGTAGAGTTCAACGGCGTCGGTTGTGAGATAGTAAATCACTGAAGACAGTGTTGGATGTGTCGCTCAATTTCGTGGATTAGTTGAAGTTAGACATTAAAACAGTCGGATCCCGGCCGTCTCAGTGGTCTAGTGGTTAAGTGCTCAAACGCGAGAATGATAGGTCCTGGGTTCGAATCTCGCGGGGTGCGGGGTCGTGGATGCGCAGTGCTGAGGAGTCCCACAATGGGACGAAACCGCCGTCCAGTGCTTCTACGTTTTCCATGGTTATCTAGCTTCAATTGACTCATGATCTCAACTATTGAAATTAATTGTTTATTTTAATCAATTTGTTTACCAAATACAATTAGATTTGTGTACTTTGCTTTATACTACATATTTATTAGTGATATTATTATTCTGTTGTTTAAATTGTTATAACAAGAACAGGATTCAAACTTGAGAATAAGGGGTTATATAGATGATGACAATTGGCACAAGGAATGTATATTTATCAATTATCCATTTGAATCTTTCAATGTGTTCTACAATCTGAACAATTTTCTCGTCTTATCTTTAAATGTTCTATCTACTTCATACTTTCACTTAACTGGTCTCTCCGTCAGATGACTGTTACAGTTTCGACGCCACATTGGGCTATATACTACTTACAAGCAATTTTTATGAGTAGGGTCTACTAAAGTTGAAAGTCGAGCCACCATTCTGTTTTCTTCAATAACAACGAGCAAATTTCTTTTCAATGTGTTTGAATATTTTCTAAATATACATATATTTCTTTGCAAGTTTAATAGATATAATCAAAGTTATTTAGTAATTTCTATCCTTATTCGAATTAATCAATTATTTTTATTCTGTATGGTGGGAAACGTATTCACATTGAATTTCATGCATAAATAAGGTATAACAATCTTGTTACAATTCACCTTAAATAGTACGTTTTAACATTTTTAGTTAATTGAAACATTTAGTCGTACTAATTTAATGTTTAGTAACTGTTCACACGGTTTATAAATATAAGGTAGATTGATGTTTTTCAATAGTCGACGGCTTAGACTTTTAATCAGTTAGTTACAGCTGTATATCTCTATTCATTGATTTAGAAAAAACTTATTGGTACCACTAGTTGTGATGCACAATAAACGTATCGGAAAGCCAAGTTGAACTACCTGATTGCATTTGTATAAGATAGTGAAAATAGGAGCTTCGCAAAAAATCTCTGCCCTGGTCTGGCCGAGAGCGGGGTGGGCCTGCCCTCCCTCTCAAAATGCTCTCACACGACCACACGTATACAGCCTCTGCCAGAGAGGTCTTACTCACTGCCTTCTCGTGGCGGGTGTGTTGCTTACGAAATTGGGAGGACGAAAAACGAATGTCCGGCGCTTTAACCGGATCCAAACCAATGGTGTACATGGGCTCCCGTATCCTGCGGGAACAAATGGCGTATGAACGAACTGTTGGTCACCGGCTTCCATGGGACTGCATCTCCTCACGATGCTCCACTGTTTTGTGAGTTATACCTTTAGGTCAAAGGCTCGGGGTGTGGTCCCTCGAGAAAACCACCTTCTTCGGTCTGGTCACCCGGACAATATCACAGCCCTCACACAAATCTAATGATTTATGTGGCACATATTTACTTGGTACCTCCTTGTACCAATGTTTATGTGTTTAAATAAATAAATAAATAATAATAAAACTAGGTTTCTGCAAGCTCCATACAAATACTTGAGGGATACAGGTTACTCTGGTAAACTACGAGTGTGATGACAATTGTATTTTCTTTAGTAAGTAAGCTTTATAAAATTGTTGTAACAACTGAGAAACCTGTTATTCGAAATACGTTATCTAATTAGAAGCAGCAGTAGTATCTGCTCACTATCGGAAGATATTTAAGTTCTTCTGAGCCACTGGCAAATGAAATCTGATGTCACTGTTACAAACTATGAAGTTTATAGGACGCGAATAAATAAGATTCGACGGCGTCTCGAATAGTGGATTGGGTTCTTGGAGGAACAGGTCGGCTGATCTGCTGTTTCAGTAACATAAATCAGACTGTCTCGTCCTCCATGGTTAGTAAGGATTTATCCACCTTACTAGACTCGTGAAGCGCTTTAATTCGCAGGGGTAATTGACTTATTCCTGATTCTTCTTAAGGATGGTAATAAACTCCCAGCCAGAGAGATTAAGTGGGTTGTTTAGAAAAGCTTTTGGGAATGGTGTTTCAACTTTTTAACCACGGAGTGAATAACAAATACATATCCGTTGTCCATTGTTTGTAAGTAAAAAGATCAAGATTTTGCCTCGGAAAGTATCACTAAACAGACTGTAATCATGAATGAATCTCATAAATTTAAAATCAAATGAAAAAATACAAAGTGAATAGACTTTTTCTCCTGCGACCATCTGTAAACTATGTTAACTAACATCATGATCTGTTCCTCGGAGTTATTGATTACGAACGCTTTTTAAATATTTCATATTTTATAATTTCAGCTAATCGTGATTATCATCGCCAAATTATTCAGAAAGATTTATTCCCATTGGGAGCATTGTTTGTTCGACGAAATATTGATTCACAGACATCAGTATTAATGAGACGGGTGAGTTTTCTATTTTTAAAGAAAAATGTCAGTAAATTATTTCTATGAATGTTATCGAAGTAGAGCTATCAAGCTCAATAAATGATAACACATTTTAATTTTGTCTGTCTCTTCCTCTCTAAAACATGTCCAACATAAAAAGACAACATTATGAAAAGTAATAGTTGATAAACATAGAGACAATGCGTGTTGCGAACTTTCTGTTATTTTAGCATATTTGTTCAACATTTAAGCTTAATATTCTTTTTTTAAACACAGAGGTAATGCGTCGCAATTTGTTATTTCTTTTACCACTGTTCTTACACTTATTGAAGGTTTCCAGAATTAATATTAAGAGGTTTGGTGGATATTATAGTAATTTTAATAGTTGAGATCATGAGTCAATTGAAGCTAGACCACCATGGAGTTCTAGTGAGAAGCAGTGACCAGTGGAGTTCGACCGGGTTAGTTGTGAGATAGTAACTCACTGAAGACAATGGTGAATATGTTGCTCACTTTCGTGAATTAGTTGAAGTTAGACATTAACACCATTCAATGCTGACTCAGTGGTCTAGTTGGTTAAGCGCTCGCGCGCGAGACTGATAGGTCGTGTGTTCGAATGTAGCGAGGTAGAATCGTGGGTGGGCATTGTTGAGGAGTCCCATACTAGGACGAAACGGCCGTTCAGTACTTCCAGGTTTTCTATGGTTGACCCATGATCTCAATTATTAAAAGTTCCTAGGATTGTTAATTGATTTATATGGCGTACTAGGAAACAAATATTACACGCAACTATCAAATGTTTATTAAGTATAGAAAATTGTAGTAATTAAACCGTTGCTAAGTCCTGATACTAATTGTGATTTTTTCGGATTTTTTTTCATTTAAATAAATTATTAATAATAGTTCGGTGACCCTATCGAAGACCTAAATCAGAACCTTCAGCTCGCAGTGAGCATTTAGCTGGTACACGAAAGCGTACATCTTCAACTTTGATCAATTCATGATATTGCGCAGTTATGTTCTATTGAATGTAATGGTAACTGCTTCTTTAATGACATGGTTCAGTGGTCTGGAGGTTAAACGGTCATCGCGAGATCAAATGTCCTGCGCCTAATCCACGATGAAGCCATGTATGCATATTACTGATGAGTCCTATACTAGAACAAAACAACTGTCCAACACTTCTTGCTTTTCAGTGGTTGTCTAACTAAATTACTCCGTGATTAGAAACGTGAAAGATTCAATAATCCCTTCAAACTTTCTACACTATTATTAGATAATTTGTTGAATAAATTTTAAAAAATTCCGAATAATTCATAATTAGTATCAGTACTTAGCCAACAGTTTAATTAATACAATTTTCTATAATTGATACACATTTGATAGTCTTGTGAAATATTTTTTGATGTTTATTGTAATGTGACTATGGTTATTTGTAAATCTTAAATGCTAACTGGTTCAACTTGTTGTATTAGTTCGTTTTTCTAAAAGAACTTTCTAAGTTAAAGTACACGAAATAGAGTGCATAATCTGTAGAGTTCAGTATTTAATATCTCCGTTCATTGATCTAGCTAAAACTGATTCGAATATCACGTGAAGCCCTAGTTGCTACATGATTTTAAGTGAACCTTGTTAACGAATGCCAGTTAGCTCAATATCTATATTGAACAGCAGCATTCAAACAATCATAAGAGGGATCCTATCGAGGTAACCTACAAACACCTAATACGTAAAAAGAGTGATGTAATTCCCGTCAAATTTACTTACTAAGAAGTATGCTGAATATAATTAAAATATGAGAAGATTCCTTTCAGAAAAGTTCTTTTATCTCCCTGTATTGTTTACTGCAAAAAATGAAAGCTCTGTTGAAATAGTCTTTTCATGTACTTTGTGTAATGATTTGGAAAATATATAAATCTTAAGTTATATCTTGTACACGGATCTGTGGATCAGGAATCTATGTGAGTAATTTTTATGACATGTTCAATTTCGCATCCTATGATGTCCTATGACCAGTCAAATATCACGTGACAGATTCGTTAATCCGAATACTGAATTCTATTGACCATGTCCCTGTGCCAAAACAATAACGTCTTAAAACAACACTAGCCGCTTTGACTCAAGTCTGAGTCCTTATTGGTCCTCTGTATAGTAACTTGTCACCTAACCCATTCCGTTCAGTCCACAACAAAAATATTAACCTCCGCCATATGAGTCGTATATTTCAGATATACGTAGTTTAGATACAAGCAGACCAGACCACATCACACCATAAAATGAGAAATAATAATTATATAAGTTCAAGCCAAAAGTATATGTGAGTGTGACATACTGTAACTGATAAATTGGGAATAAATGAAGAATAGTTAATCGTATACTGGTAGCTGATTGGTCAAATGAAAGTTTATGATTAAAAAAATATGAATATGGTCTAGTTACTTAATAATTATCCAATAAGAATATGTGTAATAATAGTTCATAAGTAATTCCTAGCAATTACCATTTATCTATTCTTCGTTCGAGTATAACTCATCGTCTATGTATAAATTATTTGTTCATCGTAATAAGTAACATATTGCTTTCTCATCCGTAGTTTCATGTATAATCCCAGATTCTATCTTCCAAATAAGTGTAAATGTTTTTTTTAGAAGAAAACTGGATTTTCGAAAAATTTTCAGTTATTTGCACATATTAGTGCTTCATGTTCTTTATATCTTCCTATTATTTTCTAGTGTATCCCAGAAGGTATTCAACAAACCAATACCTATCCTAGCAAATCTTTTATTCCTCTGGAAACCTATCAAATTCCTCAACAACGATTTCTCTGTATGTTTGGTGATGATGAGTCTTCCATTGAAAATTCTTTAATCCAACTATTACAGATTTTAACCGATGTTACATTAAAATTTTTAAATAATCTATTAAATTTATCATCTGTGGATAATAGCTCTACAATGTCAAGAGAGTCAATTTTATTTCAGAATTGTTTTGTTGTCTGTCGTCTACTTGGTCGTATCTGTTGGCATATTTCAGGTGATCGAATTCGTCAATGTTTCATTCCCGAAGGAAATATTTACAAATCTGCACTTTTTAAATTCCTAACTAATTTTTGTCAACGTCTTGGTGATCAATCGTCTCTTTTAAATGATATGATTATTGAATGTTTATGCCTTACTCTTAATAGTGAATGCATTCCTGATTGTCCACAGACCATAAAAACAGATAACTATGGAAATATTGAAAGGTATAAATTGTTAACATTGTGATTTTCAATTCATTAGTTTTGTTAATTGTAATTGTAGTATTTATGTAAAGAGAACTGGATTGAAATAATCATATACGAAACTCGAAACTGCTTAGGAATTAAATGTCATGATCCAAATTGATTTTTCATAGAATATATTGACTAGAGTTTTTATGACCTCATTTTGCCTAATTATCGGACAGACTATCAGTTCACACCATTTACATGTACAATATTTCTTTTCAATGTTATACCTTTAATATTCTTCTTACTTTATTTCTTCTTTGCTTCTTTTTAGTATTGATCTTCATAAATCTCAAAATAAATCGTGGCCTTATCCAAACAATTCTGTGGTAAATTATCACCTACAACAAACTACAGATTTATTATGGCACTTATTACCTAGCCAATTATTGAACAGAGCACAGTCTATTTTACTGAAACCATTTGATCAACATCCCATTGATCATAATCATACACAAAGAAACAGACTTAATACATGTATAGCAACATCATCAAACAACAATGGTCATTTTGTATTATGTGAAATATTTTCTGAATGTATCAATCTCATGTTGAAAGATGCTAAATCTATTGGTCAACTGAATAATAATAATAAGCTACAATCGGTTCATGATAATTTGTCTGGTCAACATCCATATCTTACAAATGTTTTGTACCTATTCTGTGGAATTGTTGGTGAACCAAATTTCAAGTAAGTTGAATTTTCTTATGTAGAAATAAGTTGTGAAAAAGTTTGATGTGAGCGAACCTTGGACATAATATAAATTTATAAAGTCGTCGATTGTTGGTATGATCCATATTAGTAAGTGTATACTTAACTGATTGTTAGGTTCGCGAAATGATCATAACTAATGAATCGATGCTATTGTTCATCAGTGCTTGAAATAGTTCACATACGTTTACTTATTTTCCTCCTTTCTCACATTTAAAAAAATTATTTTGCTGTCTTTATTCTCCCAACTTATTCTCTGTTCTCAAAAAATCTCTATCTAGTGTTTTTACTACCACTACTTTTTCTAGTCACCTTGATAATCTTTATCTCGATCTTGATGTGATGCCGATGCATATATATCCCGGTTCCTACGTTGCTAATGACTAACTGGTTGACATATATCTTTAATTCTTAACATATTTTCTTATTGACAGGCCTTCAATTTAATTCGATTCAATACAGTATTGAATTATTAGTTAAAACATATCAGTAATTCGCAGGTTTTCTAGTTGAACCCACCTAAGAGTGCTGTCAGTAATCTTCATATAAACTATTTGGTTCAAATTCGAGCATATATAAAACCTTATGCCATTATAAACTAATTCGCTCCTCTCTTGTTCTTTTTTTTTACTTATAGACCCTGGAAACTTACTTCAAATGATGAAACTTTTAAAAAATGCCAATGTTATGTAAAGGCTAATCTTCAAATAAATATTCAGTTTGAAAGTTTACAAAATGTCTTAAAATTATTGGAAAACTTTGTTCAATCAATGAAAAAGACACAAACAATTGATCAACATTACTTATCTTCAAAATCTGTTGAATTTTTGCGTAATTTTTATACATTGTCTATTCATTTTTTGGCAATATCAGCTGAATCATCAGATCTACGACTGTACATATTAGAATCTTCAAGTTTTTCAATATTTCTAAACACTATACTTACAGATTATTCACTAAGAAATGGTGTAAATCGTTCATGTACATTAGCTTTAGAAGTACTATTCACATGGTTTGCATATTCATCAGTGAAACTAATAAATTCTAATTGTCATCCATTTGATAAATTTTGTCTCGACCAATTAATTGGTTTGTTTCCAAAGGCAAATACTTCAGCTCAGTAAGTTTTTAAAAATGGCTTTGTTTGTTTGTTTGTTTTAGGTTAACAAAATTGTTCTAAAATATTCTTTTCAATACTTTAAGTAATTTTTACTTGTATACTAAAGAAATGGATTATTCAATATGTTGATTAGTTTGTCCATCTGTTGGAAAAATGTTTACTTCCTCCCTTCCAAAGAACTGACTTTATGGCTGAATGTTATTTAATATCAGGAGGAAAATCGTTTTTCACACTCCACGTTATAATTTCTTCTCTCATTCTGTACTACTACGTCTATGGTTTAGCATCTTAAGCTTTGGCCAATAATATGCATGAGACCAAAGTAATCTTGACTTCTATTAGTCTGCCGATAAATAATTTCGAAAGTCTCTAGTTTTTCAGTATTCACTACGTCACAGTTCAATAAAGTGAGTTTTAAAAGAAAAACATTTTCCTGTTCCGTTAGACAGCTAGACTACATATGATAGTATAGAACTTTTTTAACCAGTTGTAACTAATTTGAATAAGACAATTGCGAATTTACAAAATATACCACATATGTATGAAGTAAGTTCATTTTTCTTATCTAACAAGGAAACAACATGAAGATCTGAACACTCTCCTTCAGTTATTATCAATTAATAAACATTCGTTTTTTCTTATCAGTAATAAATGACCAATCATATTGTAGAAGGGATTGTTAACCACAATTCTTCTGCGATGTTAGTGTAATTTCAAAGTAAAGCTTTTCTCGAGAATATTAATGATTGTCATTAAAGTGTTTGGGGGTGTATTCATTTATTTATTTAAGCACATAAACATTGGTACAATGAAGCACTAAATATGTATGCGCCACACTTTGTCAGCCTATTTCTGTAAGGGTTGAAATACTGACCGGGTGCCAAAACCGAACCAGTTTGTTTTTTAGCGGAGGCCACTCCACGAGCCTTTGACCTAAGGGTCTGGTCCACAAGGCAGTACAGCAACGTTAGGAGATGCAGTCCCATGGTAGCCGGTGACCGACATTAGGTTCATACACCATTTGTTCCCTCAGGAGCCAATAGGCACCAATGATTTGGATTCAGGGTTTTCCAACTCCAACCCGTTTAAAGCGCTAGAAATTAGCTTTTCGTCCTCTCAACTTCGTTAAGCAACACCCCTTTCACTAGAAGGCAGTGAGTAGAACTTTCCTGGCAGTGGTTGTGTACGCGTGGCCATGTGAGATCACTTCGTGAGAGAGGGCAGACTCTCCTCACCTTCAACCGTACTAGAGCATTTGGGGGTGTAAGAGTTGTTTGAATTCAGTCATCATTACGTATAACTACAGCTTAATTTATTGGAATTTAATATCTTCCCCATTTATAACCTTATATTATTATGTTTTTCCTTTGTTATATTCATTTTATCTTTAAAAATAGGATTATTGAAGGTCCATGTGATTTACAAGCCGTTCTTTTAACAGCTATATGTTCACGTATTAAATCATTCAATCAAGCAAACACTGTTGACAGTGATAATAATGATTCTGATTCACTCCAACATGAAATTCAAACAACCATCACCACATGTTCCATGCATACAATATCAAATTTGCCAATTGATTATCTTCTTCAACTTGTACAAATTTTATTAAATTATCTATGTGGTCAGCTTGTTGAGTTGAATCAACAATCATCAATGAATAATAATAATAATAATCGGGCTTATTTGTTATGTTTTTCATGTTATACTACTGTTGTCGATGAAGAATATGAATCATGTCATAAAAATTTCACCTTATGGTCCACACTAACTAGTAATCATATACGACGAAGATTAATTAGTGATCCTTCTAAAAATATTGTACAAAATCCGAATGATCAATCTTCAACTCCTACTAATACTACTACTACTAGTACTACTACACCATTATCAAATTGTTCCTCATCATTTATTCGACAATTAACCTGTTGTTATTTATATGGTTTATGCTCTACAAGTGGAATGTATTCACAAATTCTATCCAATAAAACATACAATGATAAATGTTTAGCATTGATTCTTGGAAATCTTTGTAGAATTCTAACAAAAACTTTCAATAATATACATGATAAACATGAGATAAAAGTATTTTTTATCAAAAATATTAAATTATTTATATCCTCATTAAATTTTGCTCATATCAGTTCACCTATGAGTACAATGATTACATTATCTTGTATGATTAATGGTTGGAAAACATTGAAACATTTTACTCAGTTAATTATTAATCATTTTAAACCATTTAGTATATGTGATTGGTTATTTTATTGTGTAATTATTGTTATGCAATCTTTGGATTTTATGGATTCTTCGTCGTCATCATCATCATCAATGGTAATGTCAAAATCTACAGTTACATTCAAAACATACTTGTTACAATCGCTTATATCTCCAATTCCTTTAAATTCATGCCCATTATTTCTATTATTAGCTTTATGTATTGAATCTAATTTAGAATTACACAATAATAATGATAATAATCATGCAAATATTATTTTCAATACTTTTATAAATGATACTAATAATCACAAATCTATTAGATCATCTACATCTTCCATTATTTCTACATTATCTTCTTTTGATAATACAAAATTATATACAATCAATACAATTGAATTAGGTCAAGCTTTATTACAACAATCATTTCATTATAATATTCCATATTATCAACAATCATCTGTATATAATTTTCAATATTTAACTAATTCATTACCTATTGGTTTATTTGGTCCAATTCATTTATTCAAACAATCATCATTAGAATTTTATCAAAATATTGCCAATTTCAATTATCCTTATCAACAACGTTTACAATCAAAACAATCAACTCATATTAATACTAATTGTCAATGTATGAATTTACTTCAATCGAATCAACATAAACCTATGAAAATCAATTCTTCTTCTTCTCAAGATCATACGATTGATGATAACAATGAAGAAATGTATTGTACTTCAATGACAAATTATCATAAATCATTTATTGATTTTGCGCCTATATCTTTTATTTATTCAGATATATTAGATGAACAAATGACATCATTATGTCAAACATTATCTATTATGAATAGTCATAATGATAATTGTGAAAATATTATATTTCCATTATATTTAGGTTTTTCATCATATTCATTTGCACCGAAAATAATGTCTACATCAAATCTTCTAAATGATGTAAACGATTGTAATAATAATACCAATAATAATACTAATAATAATAATAATGATAATAACCATTCTTCAAATCAAATTCCGGAAAACTTCAATTTGTCAGATTTTATTAAAACTAATTTTGTTTTTCATAGTAATAAAGAATCATTACAGATTATTGTAAGATTTCCATTTTTAGTACAATTAGAATGTGTACAGTTGTCAGTGATGAATCCATTTCAATCAGGTAAAATCATTATTTTAATAGTTGAGATCATGAGTCAATTGAAGCTAGACCACTATAGAAAACACTGGACAGCCGTCTTGCAAGATTCGAACCGAGGATTGATCGGTCTGGCGCGTGAGCGCTTAACCATTAGATCACTGAGCTGGCATCCAACAGTGTTAATGTCTAACTTTAACTAATCCACGAAATTGAGCGACATCCATCTTTCTCTTCCGCTGAAGAGTCCTACAGTAGAACGAAAAGGCCGTCCAGTGCTTCCAGGTTTTCCATGGTGGTCTAGCTTCAATTGACTCACGATCTCAACTGTTAAAATTACTATATTATGCACAAAACGCCATCTGATAAAAATCATTATTGTGTAGTTATCTGAATATTATTATGATTGAAAGGTGGTTGTGTATTATAACGAATTTCTTGAGGTTAGACATGGAAACTACTGGATTTCGGCTTGGTGGTTTGGAGATTAAAAATTTACGAGCATATTCAAAGGCCTGGGGTTCAATTTTAGGTCGTGGATTGCCACTACAGAGGAGTCCCATACAAGGACGAAAGGGTTTTCTGTTATTTCCCGGTTTGAAAACCGGGTGATTTAAATAAGATTAGTCTGTAATATGAATTATGAAATTTTAATAGTATTCGCGAAAAAAATCCCACATACTGAATTCAAACTTATTTCTCTAGTTTTTCATATTTTTTTATTGTATGGGCTCATGTTTTTAACTGATTGGATTGAAATGTATGTATATCGTGAATTAATTTTATTACAAACAATCTTACAGAAAACTTCTATTTTTCTTAACGATTTTTCTCCTATAGCCAGTCATGTGACAATTGAGGTGGAACTATATCGCGATTTACCTGGTGGTTCTCGACGAACATTTATCAGTGCACATAAAAGTAACGAGCCATCATTGTCAAAACTTCATACGATCAATTTTCCACCACGGTTGATATCACATGTTTTAATAAGACTGTATCATGCTCAGAATTACAATAAAACTCTTCGTGTGAACACTTTACGCTTATTAGGAAGACACGCAAATGATAATAGACTGTTGTTCACAGAAACTTGTGAAAATAGCTACACAAATGCAAATAATTTAGCTGTTGAGAATTCGTTAAATAAAATCAGGTGAGTTGTTTACACGTTTGTTTGTTTCCTGCGATTATCAACCTCGTTTTTTTAACTAAATAGTTTTTTTAATAATTAAACTTACAAATAATTCGCACCATAAACATGCTTCGGTTAAGAAATAATTGAACATCGGGTAGCATCGCTCAGCTGTTACTATCAGTTGAAAAGAAGCCTATCCAAGTCCCTATCAGTATTGAGTCCAGGACTTGTTTACCCAGCTACAAGTACACAATACCCTCAGAACACTGGTACTTAGTGATCCATATTTCGATAGTTAATCACTTTGAATTGTAATTGTTAAATGCTTTGGGGCAATCGACAGAAAACTGTACTCGAACTTGGTTTCTTACCTGTATAGATTCATTAGTAAGGTGTACATACAGTCTTTAAGAAACTGGTTTGCTGAGTGCGGAATTTAAACCAGGGTCACCTAAGTTCACAGTCAGAGTTGTTATCACCAAGCTATTTAATACATTAAGACTAGTGGCTACATCAAACCTTGACAGATTGAATTCGTTCAGCACTATTATTTTATTTATTATTTGAACACATAGATATTAGTACAAGAAGGCACCAAATAGATATGCGCCACATAAATCTCATTCGACATGTGTGGGGGCTGTGATACTGCCTAGGTGCCCAGACCGAAGCAGGTGGTTTTCTTAGGGGACCACACCCGAAGCCTTCGACCTGAAGGTCTGACCCACAAAGCAGTGAAGCATCGTAAGGAGATGTAGTCCCATGATAGCCGGTGACCAACGGTTGATTCATATTCCATTTGTTCCTTCAGGATACTGAAGCCCATGTGCAATGTTGGTTTGTAATCAGGGTTTGCCAACTCCCTTAGGTGGACTCTCCATGTCCACCGACTCAGTTAAAGCGCCGGACATTCGCTTTCCGTCCTCTCAATTTCGTAAACAACACCCCCGCCACGAGAAGGCAATGAGTAGGACTTCCGTGGCAGAGGCTGTATACGAGTGGCTATGTGAGGGTATTTCGAGAGCGAGGGTGGGAACACCCCACTCTCGTTCAGCACGACAGGATAAGACGAATATGACATTGATTATAGCTTAGTGATCAATTCATTTTAAATCTTTACTTTGGAAAAAATCAAACCTATACTACCTTATGTGTATATATGCTTGTATTGTTCATAAGGACAGATCAGTGCTTGTTCAGTAGTCATACAACACATTCAGCTTTGAATTATAAATTTCCAGTTTAAAGACTCAACTATAATGAGTTAATTTTAGTCTGCTTCTTAATCACCTTTCATACCTAATTTTAACTCAAATATTGGTTTATACTATTAAAGACGTTTTATTATTTTAGTCTAACTATAACAAATATATTGCCTCACATGAAATGTTATGTAAGTACTACTAATATCTGCAATTAGTATTAATTTATTGTCATGTTTTTTTACGTCTCATCACTTAATTACACTTTTTTAAAATCTTTCTCTCTTGTTTCTTTTTATTTACTTCTTCTCAGACCAATTGTTTTATTACATCTGTTACATAATGAAATGCTTTCACAATTATTACCAAATATATTCTATTCATATCAATTTATCAATTCATTATTACACTGTTTACATATTGTTAGTTCAGATAAAGTATTATCAATGTGTACACGTCAATTAATACAAATGGTTGCATGTCATAATCAAATTTTTGAAATGATCAGTCATATATATAATTTTACCAGTGATTGTTCATCTGATAATGAAAATAAGATATTACAAAATGAATGGTTTTATTCACCTATCGGTTATATTAATGAAGCTGATATGTTTTGGAAATTATGTCCTTCATCAGCTGTATTATGTGAACGTATTTTACTTGGATTATTGGTTAATACAGATAATGGTAGTAGAAATAGTCTTGCTAATTATATATTAACCAAATTACTAAATGGTAATAACGACGATGACTTAATAATAAACTGTGAAGATGTATCATTCACAAGTGTGTCGAAATCAAATCAGGGTTAGTTTGCATTTTTTTTCAGTTACACAAATAAGTATTGTTCTTCTGTTATACCAGGACACTACGTTGATCTTTTATGATGTTGTACAGGTGACGTCATTTCTAATTTTCTTAACAGCTTCGAATTAATCTTTTTCATGATCATAGATACACGGCATTTAGCTTTACCATCTAGATTTCAATACTCATTGACATGAGATACCTGTAAGCTTGTAGGGATGAATGTTTCTTGTAGGGTTTATTTCCATGTCACGGTCAGAAATATAACACTGGATAATTCATACCGCTACTAATTTCCTGTTAGACTGAGATGTTTATACTAGTCAGCCATTGAATACTAACCAATATAATATCATCAGCTGCTTTTTGTCGATCGAATTTCATTTGAACTCAATTTTATTTACTTTCTCAAAATTATAAACATACCGTGGTAATGAATACCAGCTACCAAGAAATGTAAAATTCAAAACTTCCTTTTAATTATCTTTGGCTAACTAAGACCAGAGTAAATTTTGCAACGATATCAAGTCATAGTCCATGGATTGCGTTGCATTTAGATTAGCACTTTGGATCAAACAGCATAGCATTGTCTCGTACTTTGTGATGGATCAGTGTCAGCAGTAACATTTATCTTGTTATTTACAAATTAATTTCGTTCTATTTAGTAATAAAAACATAAGTAGTGTATATTTCAAACATTTAAGTATATTACTTTTTTCACTGGAACTTCGTATTTATATTGCTACTTTTAAATAAATTAGCGGTTGCTTACATGTAATCACTAATCAACATCTACTCTTGTGTTACTAACATCTTCCAGGTTTACTACATTTAGATTGAATTCTACCTTAACTGATCACGGGGTAGTGACCAATATCATGTTTGCTTAGTTCGTTGTATTAATCGAATTCTGTCGATCAATTTATCATATGCTTACTAGTCGAAGCGACTCAAAATCACGTGTACTATATTGAAATGTTAGATGGTTGAAGGTGTAATCGGGAAGAAATCCTGGTATTGTACTAGTTGTCGCTCGTCAGTAAGCCATTCCTACACTAATGCTTCTTGGTGTTTTCGAACTCTGCTTCACAGTCTGCGATACCACCACTAGGTTATTCTATGTTTGTTGTTGTTGTTGTTGGATCTTGTATTTAATTGGATATAAGTTACCGTAAATATGTTATTTTCTATTACCTTTCATTTAGTAGAATTACTGTCTGTTCCAGGTATTCAATTTTAATTTAGTATTATGTAAAATTAATCAGGACCTATATGCTTTCAGTAGAGATAATTACCTCATCAGTTATCTGGTATTAATTACTTTCACTCTTCGAAATACTACTCAGAAATAATTGTGCTTAAATAACAACAAATGAGTTTACATTATGCATTATTTTTGAAAATAAGTTAGAAATTATATCTACATTCCTATACATTTGTTTATCAGCAATCACTGCTATTAACATTGTCTACTTTTTGTAAATTCCGCCACAACCAGATATTTTAAAAAAACGTGTCATACAAATAAAATGATAATGTTTTGAAGAAACAAATAACGGATTGGTAGTACAATCAATAGAGAATTGGATAGAAATAGTATTTATTTCGAGTAACAGTTTTTCTAAATATACAGCTAAGATTTTTCCCTGTTATAAGGTTCAATATTACCTATTGACAGCTGAATCGTCACTGGTTTTCATCCTGAATCACTGAGTTGCACTATCTCTATGATTCTCTATGAGAAATTTTAGTGAACTGACGGATTTCAGTCCTGTACACTTACCTTTCATATCATGTCTCCTCTAGCCCTAGCATCTGGAAATAATATGCAATGTACATGTTTAAGCCATTGAAGTCAGTGTTTTGAGATGATGATACTAATTGAATTATCGACACTCCGCTCCCCCCATATAATCTTATCTAATGTCAGACTTACTAACGCTCTGTTGCCACCGGATGTCAGGTATTCTTCGGAGACGACAATGATTAAATGTAAAGAGTCGTCGAACATTATTAACTCGAAGAGGCCAGGTTTTGTAGGCATAGAGGAGAACTATTTTCATCCACTCATTATAAACCCAATCTTTTGAAGTCAGACTAATCTCACGACAGTTTCTTAGTTGGCTTTTATTGATATATCTCATCATGTTCATCTAAATAACTACTATTAATCAACATTTCAAACTATATACTACTTAATGATGTATTAATTCTTTTCTTTTGTGTGCATGTGTATGTGCTTAAATTATGACTATACAGATATAGATAATGAATTCAATTCATCTTATTGGTATGGTCCATTAGCTTCATTAACATCTACACCAAATCAACGTTTATTTGCATGGTTATGTTTACATCAAGATGCTGGACAATCTACACGTATTGAACGAATCATTAATTGGTTAAGTCACTTCAATGAATCTATGATAAAACAAGATATTCTTTCTCATAATCGTCAATTATTGAATCATTGGTCTCAATTAATATTGATTTTTTCAAGTGTTTTATGGAGTTTAAGTAGTGTTACTACCACTACTACTACTACTACTACTACTACTACTACTACTACTACTACTACTACTACTACTACTACTACTACTACTACTACTACTACTACTACTACTACTACTACTACTACTACTACTACTACTACTACTACTACTACTACTACTACTACTACTACTACTACAGCAATAGAAATGAATCAATGTTCAAATTTATGGCAAAAATATGTGACAATTGATTTTATTAGGTATGATTTATTACAATTAAAATGTAGATGAAAAAAGATTTCTTTGGACTAGTTTTTTTGTTTAAAAGTTTCAAGTGTTCTTCTTCAGTTTCTAAATAAAACCCTTTGAGTACTTCATTGAATGTATTTGGTAAAGTGTGGAAGTTTTGCTTCTTTTTTTGGTTATTTCTTGTTGTTAATTCCAGGAATCATCAGTAAATATGATAAACTGATTAAACCACATAGTATATAAGGCAAGCTTATATAATATGTCAAAATTGGTTTGGTAAGTCAGATGACAGTAATGACTCGAACTCATTACTCTTTGCTTCAAACTTCATTATCTTATTAATTAGTGTTTAAATCATCCAGTTGTTGACATGAGTATCATACCTGTTGCAAAAGCTCGTTAGATAATGTGTGGGTACTGGGTTCTAGTTTCACTGTTAAACATCAACACTAAGATGTAGGTACATCCAGTTGAAAAGTTTCAAACAGAATGAAATGCGCTTCCTAGATTCCAGTGCTAATCAAAATCGATTGATTAAAAAGATCTACTGAACTTTTTAGCTTTAAATCTGTATAAAATCTTAGAAAAATTGATACACTAGAGTTAAGTAAAACCAATTCTTGGTGTTTCAAACCTCATTGCACTGAGGATTTCGATAGTTTTGCTAATCTTCTCATGCAAACGCTCCGGCTTAAAACCTCAGTAATACTAATCTGTGGTTAGTAAATGAGTTATAGTAATTCTTTTAAATTTATAAACTTTAAATCCACATATATTATAATGCGTCATTATTCAATTCTCCCTCTCTATTTTTTGTTTTTATTCTTTCAAAATACCTTTTTCAGTTCTATTTATGATTTATACATCTCAATTATAAAACATTATCAAATTGATCTATCTATGAATGATATTGATAATGATGATAATACTAAGAACTTAATCGTTGAAATTAAACAATTTACCAAAGTACTAATCAATTTAATGTGCTCTTTATGTACAATCCAACCAAATGTCATCTCTATACTTTTATCAAAACTTTTAATAATTCCTACAACAAATTCATTATTTAATCAATATGATAAATTATTATTCAATAGTCAATTGAAAGTATTCAGTTCAATTCTATCATCAGATCATATTGTTTATTCTATTTTCTCAATTAATAAATCGATTAATACAACAGATCCATTTATATCAGATAACTTCTTTTATAATTGTTGTACATGGTTATCAAATTATTTCTCAATCATGAATAATTCTGAATCTTCTACTTTATATTCTTCTACTAGATCAATTCTTACCATTGATTTAGCTCTTAGATATTTATATATATTAAATTATTTCATGCAATCAAATCAATCTACAATATTACGAATTATTCTTGGACAATTAATCTGTGAACATTTATTTCCAAGTGTATTTTCTTATTTTACTATGATATTATCATCATCATCATCATCATCTTTATTTCAATCTATATCACTGAATAATTTGTATAATAATCATTTTAGTTCAAGTATTTATGAGATTCATCAACTTCAGCAAGCTATAATTACTTTATATCAAACAGTTAAATTATCAATGTCATTTTCAAAATCATCTAAACAATTTAATTCATATCAGTTGAATTTAGAAAGTTCAAAGTTGAAAATGAATTGTTTAACTGATCGTTTAATTGAAACATTTAAAGAATCATTTATGAAGCAAAGTGAGTATGATTAAATCATGGTCAATATCATATTGATAATCTGTTTATTCCTTTTTTCATTCAGTTTAAGTATCTGTTTAGAATCCATGGTTTAGTGGACGATATAAGGTTATTGCATGGATTATATTCAGACCTTCGAAACCTAATTTTTTTCCCTAGAGATTTACACTAGTTATATGGTTAGTTCTGTCAAAAATATTGCTTCCTTCTCTGTTATTTCCATGACTGTGACTCCACAATATATCTCACTGGCAATGGTTGACATTCCCCCGGATGCACTAAGTGCTAATTGATAAATTGGTTATATTTGTGGTCTCCCAATCTTCTCCCATGTTCTTCTGTATATAAATGTTATGTCAGAAACCGTATCTAGATGTAAGTGACCATTACATCCATTGATCTTCAGAGAAACATGTTTTCTACGGTTTTAGGAGCCGGTCCTGTTAAGAGCTATCGTTACCTTGGCTATTTGCGTCTTGAACCTTTTAGAATATACTTTCGGTTATTGGAAACGTTTTCAGGTTTTACAATGACTTGTAGTGCAACGATGATTCTTAAACGGACAAAAGTTTTCGGAATGTCAACCGCCACGTAACCAGCATAGACGATGATGGCTTGCCTTTGTCATTACAATAATTTTGCGTGTTACGACCTTGCAAAACTTTTCTCTCGACTGTGTTCATGTAATGAGGCCGGCTACCTTTCTCTACCGTCGAAATGTCGTGTTTCAAATTCACTAATCTTCGGCATTCGGTAGTTACCTCCTGTTGGATAATCGTGGGACAATATTCGAGTTTGCTTAGGATTCTCGTTCGTATATCAGCATCCTCGGTTGAGTGAGGCCTACAGACAAATATGATGCATTTAATCTGGTCTTCTGTCATGGAAGACAACTTGAACCCCTAATATTCTCGGATCATAATTCCTGAATGTTTCACTCAGTCAGCTTTGGATCCTTTCGTTTTCTTCAAGCATTGGTAACGGATGTTAATAAGAGATGACTTTTCTCCAAAGATCTGAAACAGGGTTTTAATTGCTTCATTAATACTTAAGTCTCATGAGTTCTTTGAAAGAATGAAGATAATCTAGCGTTCATGTTCCGTCATTCTAAGTTTTCTTAAAAGTATTGTGACTTTTAAAGATTCGTCCAGTATGGAACAGATCTTCATATTTCTTGAACCATGAGTCGAAAGTAACACCTGCTACATCATCAAAATTAAATTCATAAGTGGCATTAATAACTGAGTCGGTTAGTGTAACTTGTTGATAACCGATATGATGTGTCTTCTAAACACCTCAAGTGAAATTTTTATTTCTACTACTTATTTCGGTAAGGCTTGATTGTGACAAAGTAAAAATAAGCATTCTCACATTTATCTTCTCTTCTCAATCTAAATTATTCTTCTTGTCCATACTATTGGTTCTTTTTTCATTATTATTAATTATTTTCATTTCCTACGGTGGTATATGACAGCACAAACTGATCCGCCCCCAAATGCCCTGGTACGGGCGAGAGTGGAAAGAATCCGCTCCCCCTCTCCAAATGCTTTCACATGGTCAGGCGTATATAGCCTCTGCCACGGAAGTCCTACTCACTGCCTTCTCGTGGTGGGCGTGATGTATACGAGATTGAGAGGACGAAAAGCAAATGTCCGTCGCTTTAACCGAGTTGGTGGACATGGAGGGTCCACCTAAGGGAGTTGGCAAACCCTGATTCCACACCAATGGTGCACATGAGCCTCAGTATCCTGAAGGAACAAATGGCGTATGAACCAATCGTTGGTCACCGGCTATCACGGAACTGCATCTCCTTACGATGCTCCACTACCTTGTAGGTCAGACCTTCAGGTCAAAGGCTCGGGGTGTGGCCCCCTAAGAAAACCACCTGGTTCGGTCTGGGCACCCAGGCAGTGTCACAGCCCCCACACATATCGAATGAGATTTATGTGGCGCATATCTATTTGGTGCCTCCTTGTACCAATATCTATGTGTTCAAATAATAATAATAATATTGATATATTTTTCTCTTTGAAATATGAAAACTCCCTTTATGTTACTTTACTTGGAGTGGTGGTTTAATGCTTGAGGTATTCGACTGTTGGCCATTAATCCTTAGGTTCGAATACCGTGTCCACACACTACTCTTTTGAAAGTCAGTTTCTGTCATTACCCCTCACATTTTGGGTATGACTAATACTTTGTTACCTGGTGAATGAGTTGATTTGATTTTTTTAAAATCTATTTTAATTGTAGATTTCAAACTATCCAATTTTATATCTGAACTATTATTGGCACAACCTTTATCATTAACACCTGTACCATTTAAACAAACAATTGCAGTATTCGCAGTCACTTCAAATCATCCACACGCATCGACTGATTTGCCATGGCCTATAACTGGTCCACCAGTTGCATTCAATATTCAGTCATCTGAACTACCTAAATCTGGATTAGTTACATTTTTATGCAGAGAAATCCATCAGTCTGTTTCAAATAACAACCTAGACTATTCCATTCATCCTAGTCTTTCAACCGCTTTATTATTGATCAATATTTATCATCCACCAGAATACACTGGAACTAATCATTATGAATTTGAAAGAAGAATTTTAGTGAAACATTTGAGATTAATAATTTATCATTTATTGCATCCGTTCACAATGAATCGCACTAGTAGTACTACTAATAATAGTAGTATCAATAGAAATGTATCAAGTTCAACTGAAATAAATACAATCAATGATTTTGAATTATGTCTTATTCAACATACACCAAATATTGGTCACATTATATCACCTATTGATTGGGATAATGGTATATTTTTACCAGAAGGTTATACAGATAATTGGACTATGGAACAATTGAATAAATTCACTGATGATCATCCACTTGTGATTAATCAGTCTCGTCTACTTTGTTTATTAATTCGACCATGTGAACATGCTAAATTTGCATTTCATCCACCAAAAGCAGTAACTGAACCATCATCATCATTAATAAAAGAATTCCAAGAGACTAATTCCACACCTTCTTGTTATTATTTAATAAAAACATTTCAATCATCATTTATATGTGAATTTTTAAAATCTGGTCTATTACATTTTATAGCAAATTCTATTGTTCATTGGCGTATTCCATGTTTATTAAATAATGTACAACGAAAAAGAGAAAATTCTATTTTATCATCATTAGAAACTCCTCCTCCTCCTCCTCCTCCTCCTACTACTACTACTACTACTACTACTACTACTACTACTTCTACTACTACTACTACTACGACTACTACTACTAATTCTAGTATTAGTACAACTACTAATACTACTACTACTACTAATAATAATAATCATAATAATAATACTAGCAATAATAATAATAATAATACTTGGAATCAATCTATAAGACAATTTCATTCTTATATTACTTTCTATTTTAATAAATTTTCAATAAATATTCCCAATAAATTCTATAATTATAAATTAGATCACTTAATAATTAATAATTATCAATCCATTCCAATAAACAGTAATCTTGATAATATTGAAACAATGAACATGATTCTGCCAATACATTGTATCATTACTTATATATTATTATTAAGAATAACAGATTATGATTATAATTTATTAAACTTAATTCAATCATCAATGAAAATTATGGAATTAATGATTAAATATCAATTAAATTTAGTTTATGTGCCAAGTTATTTAATTCAATTAGCTAATAAATATTCTAATTTATCATTATGGACAGATGATAATCAAACTTTTCATATAAATAATTATCCTACTTATAATTTACAAAGTAGTAATTTAATTCATTCAAATATTTTACCATTTCAATGTTTATGTTATTTATACGATAATAATGATAATAATAATAGTAATGTTCGTGGTAATGGTCATCAATCTCTATGGGAACTACGTTGGATACATTTAAATTCTGGTGTATTACAGCTTATCTTAAGTTTCATGTATGTTTTATCTCATGGTTCATGTGTAAATCTACCGCAAAGATTTGATGTGAATGAAGTGAAAACATTTATTCATTCAATTCAGTTAGATTGTAATAATAATAATAATAATAATAATAATAATAATAATAATAATAATAATAATAATAATAATATTGATGAAGATGATTCATTATCGCTAACTATTCAATCAATCAATGAACTTTATATACATTTTATTAAACCAGCTTGTATAGATTTCGAACGTGAATTATTTCCTTCAATCACAGTATCTAATCAAGATAATAATAATAAAAAGTGTAAACAAAACACAAATTATCAATCATCTCATACTAATTTCAATTTAATACCTTCATCATCTGGATTAATATCTGATAAAATAAATTCTAATTTATGGGCAAAAGGTACAGGTTTTGCTACAACACCTACAATAAATGAAACATCAATTATAAATGATCATTCAAATCATAATCATAATTTTCAATCTAAATGGATCCGATCAAAACTTCAACGTGAAGATCAATATGCAATTATATTATGTAATACATTGAGTGGATATTTGTCTACATTTATGCAAAATTTAATCAATACTGATCAATTATTCGAATTAATTATTATTTATTTTATTCATAAATTTAATTTAATTAATTTTATCATTAATTATTTACGTAATGATTCTATCACAGAAATAATTAATCGTCATTTATTATATCAATCAATATTTCAATTAATTCGTAGTATTATTTTATGTCCTCGATTACATTGGTTATTAACAATGATTCAAAGTGATTTAAACAATGATAATCTTGTTCATTATAATGATAATTTATATGAATGTTTCATTTTACAATCATTTCATTCATTTCAATTATATTGGCAAAATATTAATTTGAATGATAATAATGATGTTGATGATGATGATGATGATGGTGACGATGATAGTTTAGTGGAGAATTTAAATTCATCATGTATTATTGTCTTAGTGAAACATATACTATTCTATTTGTCAAAATATAAGGAACAGTTAAAGTAAGTTGAATGGGGTTTTTTTTTCTTAAAAAAATATTGTATTTAAGTATGAATCAGTTAGCAACAATATAAAACTTCATACATACGTACGTACGTGCATCAGTTCAAGTTGCCATACCACATTAGCACAGGGATACAATTGTCTATTCAAATCCCATAGTGGTAAAGGTAGATAATTTTTTCTGGTTAGCGGTTTTTTTAGCGAGTTAGTTTTCTACAGGATGGGGTCGCTAACCCATGCCCAACCCTCCTCCTTTTACCGGGCTTCGGACCGGCAGTAGCCCCCGAAGGGACTTCAGGCAAAGGTCTCAACATACACAAATGAAAAATCAAGATTCTTTGATACAACACAACATGCACCAATCGAATCTCACTTGACAGAGAAGCTCTGCATATCATCATTGATGAACATGGATGGATCTGATGCAGATGTGAAGGCGCGGATCGGTAAAGCAAGATCAGCATATTTACAACTGAAAAACATCTGGAACTCAGAGCAACTCTCTGTCAACCAACACCAAGGTCAGGATTTTCAATACAAATGTCAAGACAGTTCTACTGTATGGAGCGGAAACCTGGAGAACTACGAAAGCCATCCAGAAGATACGAGTGTTTATTAACAGTTGTCTAGGCAAAATACTTCGGATCCGGACAGTATTAGCAACAACCAACTGTGGGAAAGAACAAACCAGATCCCAGCGGAGGAACAAATCAGGAAGAAGCGGTGGATGTGGATAGGACACACATTGGGGAAAGCATCCAACTGTGTCACAAAACAAGCCCTCACATGGAATCCTCAAGGCCAAAGGAAAAGAGAAAGACCAAAGAACACATTACGCCGAGAAATGGAGATAGACATGAGAAAAATGAACAAGATTTGGATGGAACTAGAAAAGAAGGCCCTGGACAGAGTGTGTTGAAGAATGCTGGTCGCCGGCCTATGCTCCATTAGGAGTAACAGGCGTAAGTAAGAGGTAGGTAATACAAGTATAATTAGTAATCGGAAAGATTAGTGTTTGAAGTATCACTTCCTAGTTTTTAGAAATCTTCAACTTGCTATGTCAAGCCGACAGACCAATTTATTCATTATGCTTCAGGCATATTTTTGACTTTGTTAATTATTCTCTTATCAACCTTGATTGTTTTTATGTAAACGTATGTGTGCATTTTTTTAATTTTACTCGTCACATGTTCGTAACTTATTTTTGTTCGACTATAAATTTCGATTCACACTTGGTTAAATGGAGTTGGCTCATTCGTCTTCTTCATTGCGTGTTATTTCGTTTAGTTTCGCTTTACGATTGTACGAAATATATGTACTCAGAAATCTATTGTCGTATTTGAGTTATTTAATTCCGTTATTTACTAACTCAATGATTATATATGAGGATTGGTGACATATATGATTCAATAACAATCATTCGAACGATCTAACTGGAATCAGATCTCGTGCCACTAAAACCTTTGATCAATAAACAAGAAGAAAGAAAATACTAGGCGGATAATATACAAGTTATATTTCGAAGACTAAACTTTATTCAGAAGAAATAGAAGTGTTTATCAGATTCTAAGAGCTTCTTGAAAAAATGTTCTGAAATCCGCAATGAATGTAATAGTTTCAAAGTATTACAGATTCTAATTGTACAAGTTAAAACAAGATATATAATTGGACGTTATTGTTCTTAGTTAGATTTTCACTAGACTTTAATACACAGTAGTATTGGTACACTTATAGGCGAAACATAAACCAGCCAAAGGTAATCTAATTCAATCAATGGTAGTAATGACACAAAATACACATTATCCATAATAAGTTATGATTATAAGCAGTAAAAAACAGATACGTAATGGTGTGAGTAATTAGTCAAATCACCCGTCAAATCGTATCAATTCAAGGAAGTGATAGAGGTAAAATACAGATTATGTATGACAAGAGGCTAAACGCTGTTACGGAGGTGTGGTAGTATATATTTATCATTTGTAAGGATTTGTTTTTCTCTGCCATATGATTATCACAGTCAATTGTGTGATAAAACAGAGCTTTGTGTCTTTCTGAACTATTCATTCACTTTTTGACTTAATTGCTCTGTAGTATACTTGACGCAAGAGCAGCTGAATCGATAACTTCAAAATAAACTGGCAAAAATGTAGCTCCATATTTGAGTAAAACTTCATGACGGTCTAATTGAAAACAATCTTATTCTCCTGTTTTTCTTTTCCCGATTCGGTAGTTAACCACTTTTCAAACCTTTCTTGTAATTTTCTGAAAAAGTGTTCACAGCATTCTTCCTGCATTCTGGGGAGCTTTTGAATAATTATTGTGGTCTCCTACAACCAACTTTTTTCAAAAATGATAAATCCAATAGTTATTAAAGGTCACAGATACTGAAACTGAGTGGTGATCAATGTTACATTTCTCTAGTTCTTTAGTTCTGATTGGATTCTGCCAAGCAACTTGTAACGTGGTTACTAGTTAACCGACGTCTCCTAAACAATGTGGAATGATTGAACTTGATCTACAGAAAACCCTGTTCACTCTAGGTTTCGTGTTGGTCGACACTCTAGAAATCTGTACCTGGAATCCTAAGGGACTTCATGTTACCTTTGCGAATTCGGACTCGCTTCACAGTCTGATCTATTTCCAGAGTTACCTGTCGACTGCCTTCAACAACTAACGGCTTTCCACAATGACTGTCCACTTCAAATATCAAGTTTTTACGTTAATTACATTTTATTTGTAATAACTGTTTCATCATATCATTATTGAGTATTCCTTTCTTTCTAAATTTGCAATCGAAGTGAGACTAAATCATCTTGCTGTTTTTATCTCTCTCCATCCACCTCCGTCTTATTTAAATAGCAAATTGGGATTGATAATTGAGCCTTCTGAATCGGAGCAACCGTCAAAACAAATTACCTCTAAGTCCAACATTGAATTACACCCAACTAGTCCTACCAATACACATATTAGTAGTGGTGGTCTTATTCGCCGTTCATCAATACGATATCGTAATTTTCGTAAACAGCACATTAATGAAAATTTACTAAAAAATATACATTTTAAAAGTCAAAACGTGTATAAATCATCCCAAACATTCAACACTACTGATATTATTAATTCTCATTGTTCAACTTCTAAAACCTATGGTTTATTACAACTGAAATCTGGTTTCTATGATCAGTTCGACGTTAGTGACAGTAATACTAATCAAATGAGTGGTGGAGACAGAGATCAACTTTATACGTTAATAGAAAGTAATGTTGAGATCAACTGTGGTGATGACGATGATAATCTTAACACTGCTTCTGAAAATGTTCATGATATTCATTCCGAGATAGAAAAAGAACAGGACGAAAACGGAAATGTTCATTGTGAGATTATTAAAGATTTAACCGAAAATGCTAATCATTCTCAATCGATTAGTAAAGAGAATAATCTTGTAAATGGTGAATTTCATAGTCATTTTCAAAATGATATATTGGATGATAATCCTGAAAGTACTAACCATGAATTCAACAGTGATAGCAGTTCAACATATGTAAATCAAGAGATCCTAATCATTTTTAATGAACTAGAAACCACATATAAACTGCTTAAATTAATTTTGAAATATCAACAGTGCTCTGGAAATAAATCATTAATAATGATGAATAAATGTCATCATAATGAGGAAGATAAATTTACTAATAATGATTACAAAACTACTTCACATGAATTACGATCAACTGAATATGGTAACGGCAGTGATAGGAATGGTACACTACAGATTCAAACTTCATCAATTAATTCAAAAAAGCTTACAACCAATAATGCTTATTGTACAGCTTTAAAATCTATACACTTTCGTAAGTTCAGTAGTCAATGACACTTTGTTTTAATTAAATAAATCAATGTTTATTAAATGTTTTTTTGTAATTTGAACACTGAATTAATTATCAGTACTCTGTAAGTTGGCGACTACAAACAAGATTATGTCTTTATAGTTTTTGTATGAAGTCTAATGCCATTACCCTGATGAGTAGGTATCTGACGAAATATCCGCATTAGTTCAGAAAGCTGGGTTGGCTTTTGATAACGAATATACTGCGCTACAATCCTTTCCGTTCTACTTTATTGCTGTGAAGCATGACATTTCAAAAATAGAAAATATTTCTAAGTTAATGGTATTGTCTTCGAAGCATTGCTCGTATATCCTTTGACCATCAATTTAGCGGTTTCGAGGTTAGACGTAAAGGTACTAGATAAGAATGGAAAGTCGGTTGATGACGCAGCTAATCTTTGCCGATTAAGATGATCAGGACGTGTGTTGCGTATGACTAACCACCGATGACGTCGATGGGCAATGTTGTTTGGTATAGAAGTAGGTTAGAAAAAAGCTAGAGGCAGCTGAATCAAGACATGACACTGGTTCTTTAAGTCACTGACTATTGAACTGAACCATATAGGTAGGTGCCGATTACCGAATAGCGGTTCGCGCGATTGTTGTAACCAATTTTCAGACATTTTGGGCGATGTAGCTACAATAATCCAGAGGCATTCATCCGTAGTTTTACTTCAGATTTCGAATTTACTAATTATCTTATAAATTTTCTAATTCTACGGATCCATATTTTCTTCTTAAATCATATCTTCTAAATTCAATCTTTTCTGTTACTGCTAATACTGTTATTACCTAATACTCTGGGATTTGCCTTGATAATTTCATCTCGCTATGCTTATGGAATGTGACAACCTGAACGAATGTAGACATGTACCAAACTCTACGTTACGTATGAATGACTGATTAGAGTACTTACCAAGCTTCTACTCTGGCACTTAAATGTCAAACATTCTAACCACTCAATCAACGCTTCACTATCCTATAAAACCAAACAGTTAGCTTGATTGGACTATTTTACGTGATATTTCAACAAAATACTTGGTATAAATTAAATACAAGTAATGTAACTTTTTGAACACATTTTACGTTATAAACAACACAGTCGAACGGCGGCTTAGTTTGGCTCAAAGGTTTAAATCACTACTTCACTTATTTCCTTTCATGTTTTTGTTTAATAGTAGTATCACTTACCCTCACACATAAAAGAGTATTACTCCAAGGGAAAGTACATAATTCTACTCCTATTTAAGAGATTATATTAAAATAGTGGTTATAATTTCCATATCTCTTTGATGTTACCATAGCTTTATTAGTCATTACAATTGTCTGGATGAAAGAATGAAATGTGGATAAACATCATCAACAAGACTTTATCGGTATGATTGTTTCGAAATGATTTATCTACTCTTAATTGTAAGCTTATTCTTTCAGCTCGTTTATTTTTGCTGACTAAAAACAAATTACCAATATACTAGTTTTGGTCTTAGGGAGGAACTATCCTAATAGCTTGACTAGTAATCTGTTATCCATACGGTTATTGTCTGAACAAATAACTTTCACTGGTTGAAATCATGAGTCAATTGAAGCTAGACCACCATGGAAAACCTGGAAACACTGGACGGCCGTTTTGTTCTATTGTGGGACTCCTCAGCAGCGCGAATCCACGGGCCCGCACCCCACGAGTTTCCAACTCAGGACCTAACAGTCTCGCGCCAGTGCTCCCAGGTTTTCCATGGTGGTCCAGCTTCAATTGAATCTTGATTTCAACCAGTGAAATTTCTAAAATCTCCACAAAACTCCTTCTGAAAATAACTATTCTCCAAAAAACAATAAGCAGAGATCATATGATGATAGTAGTACAATTATCTGCATCGGAACGTGTCTCCAGCTCAAAAACGTATATGCTTAAGTATGTGAATATTTAGACTACAATCCACTATCATTAAGAAAATGCAGTATGTCAAAACTGGAGTATTCATGATAAAAATTGAGAACAAAACCTTACCCTGGTGAAACTACGTTTTACGAAAAAAAAACTAATCATATAACTGCTCGTGTATTTCCGAGTGAAATTCACTCATCCATATATCTACTAAACATTTTTAAATTATAGCTGATGCCAGTTCGTGATTAAAAACCCGAACCCTAAATACCTAACCTTTACTATGAACAATATGTAAATTCTTAAAAAATGTGTTTAGGCTATTTTAAGAGTTCAAATAGAGGGATAGTCTATATGTTGCTTTTTTCGATTTTCAGGCAAATTAACCTGTAGAAGACATTGAAGTATATAAAATCTGTTTATACTTTGTAATATTATTGTTTACTTTTTTACAAACTGTCTATTTATTAAACCAGTTTTCCGATTGACTAGAAACTAGCTGAAAATTTGTCGAGGTCATTTTAAGCTTAGCCCTGTATTATACCATACCTTTACCGAAGATTCTTATGTAGATCATATTCAACCTCCAGAGTTTTTATTCATGTATCTTCGTTGTTCAGGTTTGTTAGAATGTATTCTGTTCTCTTCCAGTTCTTGTGTTTGACTTGAAAAGAGTTAAGTATTGTTTTCAACGTATACCACACGGTAGAAGTATACAATAGTTAGTGATATATGTGATATAACTATATACCTAAATCACGCAAACTATATATGTAGAATTTTTTTTATTTTCTTTGCTAAATCTAATGGAAATTTACACATCATTTTTGTTTGTTTAGGTACGATCAAATTTTTTTCACCTTCCGTGAATAATACTGTTTCTTCAATAGTCCCACATGGATATGCGAATTTATGTGCTCAACATGAAGGTTTCATCTTAATTAACAGTTTTAATACAAAAAAATTATTCATTTATTCCGCGTCCACCTCTACCTCTGGACTAAATCCTGATCAATCTCATAAACTGTCAACGGTTACTTCTACCACTACTAGTTCTCAATTGAAAATAACCCCAAAAAATCGATCATTTCATCGGTTGCAACGTCTCGCTCAAGAAATTGTAACATTGAATACTAGTTTACCATTGTCCGAAAATGCTAGTGTGTTTATTTGCTGTGAAGAAAATCATTTGTGTTTATTAAAGGTAAATTTTTCCTAACAATCAATCTGAATGGCGTTTCGTTTTTTTAGACTATTAATATAAAATTTGACTGATTGTTGATCAATGAAGGTTATGCATTTATATGTTTTTTTTATACATCATCCATCGATATTATTTCTCAATTAATCATTCACGGACATTATAGAACCTGGCATAAATATGTTGTGGCTTGAAGGTTAGCTTACTAGATTTTCAACTAATAAGTCTGAGATTTGAACCTCTTTCCACTAACTTCGATCTTATTAGCTGGATGGTATCACTAAATTTACTGTCTTGACTTAGTGGTCGCATCCGCATTTCGTGATGACTCAGTTGAGCTATACTAGCTGGAAAACATGGTCGGAGGGCTATGTTGTGCTGCTGATTATGCAGGGGTATAGTGTCAGACGAGTATTTTCTTCATGCAATCAACATTCCTATCGAAAATGTCGACCGTAGCAATAGCACACTTTATCTTGCCCCAAGGGTCTCCGCCGGCAGCGGTAAAATTTTTACAGTACGGAGCTACCCGCAATAGGACCGTGTATGGACGGTCCCAAGCAATTGTCCCTCAAATTATGTGGTCACCAACACCATACTAATCCAGTATCTTTCTCAGGTTCTTCAGGAAGAAATATCCCTTCACAGTACGAGAAATCGGGAAGTGACAACCGTTCACACACCTCTGACGGCACTAGAAATAACTAACTCGTGATACCGATCAGCGATCTCAAGCCATAACACAATTACTTATGTTCACTTTGTTTTATTTTTATTTTCAACCAACTAACAACAAAAAACTAGGCACTAATTACTGGACCTCCTGATACTCCATATGCAAATGGATGTTTTGAATTTGACATATACACACCACCAGATTATCCAAATCAGCCGCCTTTAGTTGAATTTTGTACAACAGCGAAAAATACATTCCGTTTTAATCCAAACCTGTATGAAGATGGCAAAGTATGCTTGTCAGTGCTGAATACATGGCATGGATCAACCGAAGAACGATGGAACCCTCAAACATCAAGTTTATTACAAGTAATTAAATCTTTTCCATACATGTATATTTATGTATTTACTCTTTTAAATAATATTTCTTGTAGTTGCATTGGATATGAGTCATATTCTGATTAATGACGTAAACACACTCATGTAAAATAGATGGAATGTGGTCAACAATGGAATTCAGGACGCGCATTTTATTTATACCTACATCCCAGAGTTGATATTTACTCCGGGACCCTGGTATTCAGTCACATCTAGCTGACAAGTCCTAAGTAGAATGAAACGCGCGAGCTGGATTCGCTGGCATCCACCATCCGTCACTACTTATAAATGTTTATGACATAATAGTGATATTAATGGAATCCACGCAGGATACATAGATGCTAACAAAGCAGACTAATAAAGTACAGTCTTAAATATCAATGAAAAGCTTCAAATAATCAATAAAAATGAATTAAATTCCACTGGTTATTATTTGTTTTTTCAATTTTTTAGACTTCTAGATGTAACCCTCCATCTCCTGTTATCATTGTCATTACTGTTGAAACTGTCACTAAATTCGTTCATTTAATGTAGAGTACTTCTTTTTAATAAGTCATTTCATTATCTGATAGTATACAACATCGTACAAATAATGTATAATTAGCATCGTTGTCTAGAAAATTGTTCTAATCTTGGAGACATTTATATCTTTCTATCAAAGATCATTCGTTTACCTCTATATCATATTTATTGTTGAGTGTTGTTGACGAACTACGTTATGCTTTTATTTTCAGTTCTCAATCTGATAAATATATATCCATCATAATTTCATTATTACACTATAGTATTAGAATGCACCATATAAAATGGGAAAATTGAAAGAAACCGCTTGTAACATGACCACCACTTGGTTATACTCTGGATTTTATCTAATAACGTTTTAAAGCTTCTGAAACAATCACATTATTTGATTATTCCCAAACTAAAATTTATGATAACCTGATCTTTACCAGTTTTATACAACATTTCAACTGACCTTCAGTCACATCTCTGTTACCTACCATATCTAAATAACCTGAACGGTAAATTGATGTAAGTCATCCTAACCTTAGTGGGGTTGAAAAGGCTACAATCACTCTAAAGTGAAGAAGGGCAACAGGGCCTGATGAACTAACCCCTGAAATTTGTAACAATGGTGGTTCAGTTTTAGCAGTTAGGTTAACAAAATTTTAGCTAACATCTAGGAACTGGACATATTCCCAACTGATTGATCTCAATCTCTGATCATCACAGTTTATAAGAGAGGATAAAAATCCTCTTGTGACAATCACAGAGGAATCAGTTTAACTAAGATTTTGTCTAAAATATTAACCTGAATAATACTTAAATGAGTTCATGAAGAGCAAACCTGAGAAGACCAGGTTGGTTTCAGACGTGAACATGGATTTATAGATCAAATATCTACCCTTCGGCGGACTCTTAAACGTTTAAGTACTTTTCGTCGTCCGACTATAGTTGTATTCTTTGACCTTAAGGCGGCATTCGACTCTGTTGGTTGTGAGTTTCTGCGCCAATTTCTCATTGAAAGGCGTCCGAAAGAAGTACATTAACCTTATGCAGGTTCTGTACTCAAATACTATTGGTTGAGTCAGACCTTATAGAAAACTGTCATCGGAACTGGTTACTTCAATTAGTGTTCGTCAGGGTTGTCCGTTTTACTCACTTTTATTTAAATTTTTTGTAGGGATGCTTGTAGAGATAAAACTTTTATCATCGTTTGACTTTTCAGATAAGGATCTTCTAAAAGGAGATTCACTCGTTAACTTAGAATAAGCAGTAGACATACCTCCATTTAGTGAAGACGCTGACAAAATCCCGAGTTTCCTGACCACTTTAAGTAATAACGGAAGCATGTTTGTGATGGGGTTCTCTTCCTCCAAGTGTAAAATGCTACTTGAGGATTGGTCTGGGATATAACCTTTCACCTTGATTGATTTTAAACTATTGATTTAGATTTATTTGGTATGAATACTGTGAATTTCGTTCTCATTATATTCCATTATTTGACTATTACAATTACTATTATCAGGTATTAGTATCAATTCAATCGTTAATTTTCGTACGTGAACCTTATTTTAATGAACCGGGTTTCGAGTGTACCATGGGAACGCCTAAAGGCATAATTGTCAGTTACAAATATAATGCTCGTATTCGTGTTGCAACTGTTCGTTGGGCTATGATTAATCAATTAAAGCATTTACCAATTGGTTTTGAAGAGGTGAGTAGAATCTTATCATTTTTTTGTTTAATCCTATGTATTAAGATTTCTAAAAGAATTAAAAATTCGATGGTTGTATGTGGTTGAATAGTTGATGCACAGATCAAGCTTAAATTTTATTAGTTGTTTTTCGTCACAAACTCGGTTGAAATCCATGCGATTGTCGAAAACTATAGATTGAGAATATTCAGCGATGTGACTTACAATCTATGTGATGATGCAGATATATTCACTTACTGTCTTCTCTAAGATATTGAGTTTTCAAATTAATTCATTCTTTCTTGAATCTTATCGTATAGTCGTAAATCTTTTCCGCTACCAACAATTCTGTATTTATTTGTTATAATACCTCCTATCTGGCGCCTTCTTAGTCTGATGGCTCGTAAAAATACACCAACCACAACCTGGATTTGTTCATCACTAATATACCAATCCGCTTACAAGAAAGCTACTTTACTTGGCCAATGAAATGCCTAGGCTAGTGTGGTCAACCTAGAGGATTGACAAGATAATTTAACACCTGTTGGTCCGCCGATCTCCATACCTTCTTCTATCCTCAGTCTTGAGTTCGAACAAGAGAACGTAGCTGGGAAGCTTCCATTATTATAATCCAAGCACACATGTGTTCATATACATGTTTACTGAACATCATACCATAAAATAAAAATCATAATTTATACATTAAAAAAACCAAAGGTGAGAGTGAATAAAGCAAATGAATGCCTACAAATTCCCTGGTACGTTCGAGAGTGGGGAGAGTCCGCTGTCCCTCTCCAAATGCTCTCACACGACCACGCGTATATAGCCTCTGCCAGGGAATTCCTATTCATTGCCTTCTCGTGGCGGGGGTGTTGTTTACGAAATTGAGAGGACGAGAAGCGAATGTCCGTCGCTTTAACCGGGTTGGTGGACATGGAGAGTCCACTTAGAGGAGTTGGAAAACCCTGATTACAAACCAATAGTGCACATTAGCTCCAGTATCCTGAAGGAACAAATGGCGTATGAACCAATCGTTGCTGACCGGCTATCATGGGACTGCATCTCCTTACGATGCTCCACTGCCTTGTGGGCCAGACCTTCAGGTTTAGGTTAGAGGCGCCCGGAGTTGCCCCCTAAGAAAACCACGTGGTTCGGTTCGGGCACCCGGACAGTATCACAGCCCTCACACGTATCAAATGAGATTTGTGTGGCGCATATCTATTTGGTGCCTCCTTGTACCAATATCTATGTATTGAAATAAATAAATGATAAATAACCGGTTAACAATAATTTAAGAGTAATAAAATGTATAACAATAGTTAACAGATCAAATAACAACTCACTATAAAGTTGAATATCGAAATATAATATTCCAGTTATTCAATAATTATAGAATTACTTCATAAAATAGTCTCGAATGTCACCAGCTTTTTTTAGTATTCTTTATGTTACTGAAACTTCTACCATTCTGTAATTCGTTTCGATAATTTCTATCTTTCTATATTAATATGTTGTAACAACATATATGTTTTAGGTTTTATATTACTTATAACTAGTTGTGTTAAGAACTGTAGTCAACCAGAAAATAGTCGATTTTATATGAAGATAGTAAGTACTTACTGTTAAAGAATTCTCAATTCAAATAAAACAGATGTTCATTTCACTTCTTTCTTTTCAATGAAGTTCCCTACAACTATCAGTTAGTCTCTTGATGATAAATGTTATCTTTAAGTTGTATTTTGGGTTGTTTTTTTCTTAAAAATGGATAAATAAATAATATATCTGTAATATCCCGATGAGTAGAAAAACGAGGGTTTTTTTGACGTTTCGTGACTTAGTGTAAGCCACTTCTTCAGAGAATAAATAACCAAACTGAAATTAATCCAAGGTTAAATAGTATAACGGAACAACAAGAATATTATGTGCTCAATCAAAAAACAGGTCTGAACAAATCAATGTCATGTCATTTCGGTGAATGTGATTCATAAGCGACATGTATGTAAATTTGTATGTATGTATGTGTGCACTGTTAAGGATGAAAAATGTTTGATCTTTATGGTGAGAAATGATAGAGTTTGATTTGTAAGATGATAGTGTGAATTGTAAATAATATCAGACTAGATGGCTAGGATAGATAGTCCAAGTAGGATGTATGGTAAGGCCTTCTGTTCTATTGAGAGCAGTAGGATTAAGCATTATATGGAACGTTTCAGCTACTCTCCTTTCTTTGTAATTGGAAAAACCCTTTTGTAATATTTTGATATTTTTGAAATCGATATGGTGGTCGTTGAAAATGGTATGAACTGCTATTGTCGATTTAATTAGAAGTCTATACAGTTCTACGGGATCATTTGGTTGTTTTTTTGTGTACCTAGTATGTTCTTTGACACGAGTCAAGATTTTGTGAGATGACTCTCCAATATAGAAGGCATTACAATCGACACAAACTAATTTGTAGACGCAGTTCTGTAGTGATATGGATGGATAGTTTAATGGTTCAGTTTTGAAAACTTCGCTTCAGAATTTCAAGTTCATTTTTGATTCGTAATTCAGTTTGATGATTTCCGTAATGTATGTCCTATGCACTTCCATCGTCTTTTCCTAACCTCCTTTTCAGATAGAAGCTGGCTTGTTCTCTCCCACAGTAGGAAGTTACTGATGGTATCCGGTCAACGGACATTTAGTATCTTGTGTAGACAATTGTTTGTAAATACTTGTATATTTTTGATGATGGTTGTGGTAGTTCTCGAAGCTTCAGCTCTGTACAGTAGAACTGTCTTGACGTTTGTATTGAAGATTCTGACTTTGATGTTGACTGATAGTTGTTTTGAGTTCCTTGCTTTACCAATCCTTGCATTTACGTCTGAATCAGATCCTCCTTGTTAATCGATAATGCTTCCCAGGTACCTGAAGGTTTGAAACTCGTCCAGAGCTTCTCCATCAACTGTTTTCTACTAGTAATGATCAATTGCTTTAGCCATCATCAGGGAAATCACCTACATAGTTTAATTTCTGTACACTCATTGTAATATAACATTGATTTTTATTGAATGTACGTCTTTTTCCATCCTGTAGGTAGTTTTAAAACATTTTCTAAATCGACGTTCATTTATTATTACTCAAGTTGAACAATGGATATTTGAAATGCGTAATCATGCACAATTTAAGAGCGTAGAAATCTATGTCAAAGAGCTTGAAGTGAGTTAATAACTTGATCATTATTTGTCTTAAATTAGAATGAATACTTCATCACTTACATCTTTTATTGTTTTGGTGTGTTTTCTTTTCTTGAAAAAAAAAATGTGAAATTCATTATATATGGTTAATAAATTTGATCTGTAGGAAGTTATTTCGGTGTTGCACTAGTCCATCACTATTAGTAAAAGGAATATGGAACTTAGATAACTGTTCTTTCGTCAAATTTTAGTGAACCTTTTTCGAACAGTTATTTTAGGTTACTTTTCTGGCTACCTACTAGATTCAGGACACACGTTTATTCCTATTTGGAACTCGTCAACTGGATGGACCTGGTCTCTGGACTCAGTAGCTAAATGAATAATGTGTTAGAGGTTTGAAGTAAAATGCACTAGGTTTGATTCCTGGCTCGAAGGTCAGCACTAGTATTCAGATACATCCATCTGATGAGCCTCAAATAGGACAAAGCGCCCGTCTTGAATTCCATTGCTAGCCACTGTCAAAACTTAGCTTAAAAATGCCTATGCCTTAATAGTTATATTGAAACAATCCGCTGAGGATGCGAATTCGCCAAAAGATATTGGTGATAATTCAGTCCTTAACATCAAAGATTGTAAAATTCGAACCCTTAAAAATGAATGAACACAAAATCTGTATAAACAAAAGTATTCCGCAACAGAAATAAAGAAACCTGTTAAGCTTTGGTGGTTTCAATAAATTTATTGGTTTTCCATGTCTTACTACCGGTCCTATGCTTCCACAAGGTGGAAACAGGCATAAGTGATAATTTATTGATGTTGGTAAATTATCATGACTAGATATGTCAGTCAGTAACAACGTGGAACTTCGTACGTACGTACATCAGTTCAAGTCGCCATACCACATTAGCACAGAGATGCAGTGGTCGATTCAAATCCCGTGGTGGTAGAGGTAGTAAGAGTATGAGCAGTAATCGGGAAGATTAGTGTTTGGAGATTTTATTTAAAGAGTATAATACAGTGAAATAAAATTGAGGAAGAGAAAGAAAGAGATCAGATGACTAGATATGTGATTTATCAGGAATATTTTGCAATTGTTTCAAAAAACTAAGCAGAGTGTTCCCCTCACTGCTGATACTGTGGTGTACGCTTTTTATATTGACTTAAGTAGTATATAACGCTAGTCAGGAATAGAATGTCTAGCAGCAGAGGATCGAGAAGGAAAGAACGGGAACAGTAAGCAATTTGTATGGAAATGATGGAACAGTGAAATTTGAGACGATTGATTGACATTTTGCAAATGAAGTATCTACTGTATGATTCTTAGATTTTACTAAGATGTTCTATAATTCTGTGTTCAAATACATTCGATTGTCCTCATTTATGTTCTCGTTCACTACAATACCATAACTTGTTCAGTAATAATAAACAGTTATTTTATTTAATATAACTCATATAGCCCTTAATGTGGAATATTTAACGATTATTATTATTTTTTATTCATACAAAGGATTCTTTACCCATCTTGAAAACGGAACTTAATCGTCTAGAAGAACGTCTTACTGATTGGAATGAAAAACATAGTCAAATGTAATATATCTCAATGAAAAGGTAATACCAGAGTATATATGTATGTATAAATTATATATATTTGAAATACAATAATTATGCTTACTAACTTGTTTATTATTTCTTACTTTCCAATCTTCATTGTACACATTGATTCTTGTAAATTAGCTTACACTTTCCCTTTTCTTTTCTTTTAATGTATGTAAATCATGCACATAAAGATGGGTAACTATAAGCAAACAATTATCTTTCAATGTTTAACATTATTATTATTATTATTGTTATTATTATTATTGGTGGTAGTAGTGCTAGTAGCAATAGTAGTCGTAGTAGTATTGTGAAGATATCTATTTTCTAAACGGCTTTTTTTAAAACTTTGATTCATTTATTAATTTTGCCTAATATTCAATCCTGTTAGTGAAATGTATATCTAGTGTGATGTTTTGTCTTTTAATTTTGTGCATCTTTAATTTCTTCTCAGTTTATTTATATTCTCATTTGATTCTTTTATGAAAATGACAAATTTACTGTTTATCCGGGTATGTTTACGATTGTATAACAGTTATGTATTTGCTTTTACTGTTATACTTTATTTTTTTGAAAGGATTCTACGATCAGTAGCTGACATAAATTAAATGTTTTTTTCACTGGTGTAAGCTTTTGTCTATGGGATCAGTGTTATTTAATTAGATGGTGGGGAGAATCCGCTTTCCCTCTCGAAATGTTCTTACATAGCTACGCGTATACAGTCCACTGCCTTCTCGTGATGGGGGTGGTGTTTAAGAAATTTAGAGGTTGAAAAGCCAATCTCAGGTGCTTTAACCGGATCGGTGGATACGGAGAATCCACCTAGAGGAGTTGGAAAACCCTGATTCCAGACGAATGGTGCACATGGGCTCCAGGGTCTTAAAGTAACCAATCGCTACCAACCGGCTATTAGTTACGGTTATTTTACTTTCTACTTCTGTAGGGCAGCATTTTTGAATAGAAATATTGAACAATTTAGTGTGATTAATTTGAAAGGTATCAGGTGTGTTATAGAGATCCTGGATATATTAGTCATATATTAGTAATACATTGTTAAAGTGTCAGGGTTCCAATCCACATCCTTAATTTGTGGTAGCTGAAATACGATTAGGACCCGATTTTATGCTATGCCTTGTTAAAGATACCGTCAAGTACGAAATTCCAGTCGATTATCTTCAATAAGTTGTGTAGACCATAGCCTCGGAAGAAAGTTAAAAGTTGTTTACTTTGTGAGCCTCTGTGGTCCCATCAGCATATTTTCGAGCTTTTTCAAGGTGGGGTGTATGGCCATCCTTGAGCCTTAGTGTTCCTTGCGACCTACCACTGGAGCCTTTGGGATGAAACGAGTCTTAATGTTATCCTGAATTCTCAGTCTGAGTGGTTCTAAACATTTTATGAAAAGGTTTACCTGCAGTCCGATGAGTTTTGCTAGTGTTCTGCAATCAGGTAACTAAATTAGACCACCTACGTGATCATATCACAAACATTTCAAACATAGTTTCCAGGGATTTATTGTCCACTGCCTCAGTTCCAAAGTGCTCGATTTGGAATTCGCGAAACTGAATAGATTTTTTAGGCGTTATCCTTAGAATGTTTCATTATGTTGTTTATGTGACTTTAGATACATGTCTAAATAAAGAGATTTACTGAAGGCTTACCTATCTTCAAACGCTTCCGACTTTATGTGAAGACTGTGAACCAGGTTTCTTTGTTTTTATTAATTGTGTTGAGTTTTTTCCAAGTATAAAATGGGACTGATGGTGGCTTACTGATAGCACAAAAGGGAAGAATAATTTGAAGAAATCTACCATTGACAATAAGAAATAAACAAGATCGATCAAACTATCATATTCCTTTGTAAAAGAATATGCAACTGCGAAGGTATGACAATTAGAAGTATTTGAATTATTGTACGAACTGAGGATTCCTGAAATACCGCAATTTATAGCAAATAGAACTAGATGAGCATGTATTTAGAATTCGAAATCAGGTACAAAAGAATCATCAGTTTATACAAACACCAAAACTTAAATTAGAATGCAGGTTTCTGTAATCGACTGAATGTTTTCTCAGTAGGTTCTATACATGTCTGTCAGACCGTGTATTGAATGAGGACTCTGTATTATCTAGGGTTTACGCATTAGAATTCACAAGTAAGATTGGGACATACTCACCTGGCTCCTGGAATTCTCTATGAACGCATAAGTTTTTTGTACTGTAATCACTGATATCTAGAATTTGAACAGTAGATTTTCCAGCACTATCCTCCTCTACGAAATAAGGTGGGGTCCTTATATCGCAATTTGCATTATCTTCTCATATCATACACTTTGATAATTGTATGTGGGTATTTGGAGATATACATCAACATATAATGTGGAGCATTCCATCATGTGACTTTGACCTGCACTGCAAATATGATACACATTTCTTTTGCTTTTCACGATAGGCTACACTGTTCCAGTTATTGGATAAGTTTGTATTGATATGTGTAAATAACGTAGGTGTTTCATTTAGGCCTAATCCACCTACAACACTCAAATGGAAAATATGCATCTCTTTCATGTCTATTAATATAATTTCGATTTGGATTTTCTCCCTGTTCAAACTTCATATCTGGGAAAACTGGTTCTCTGACAGTTTCCAGAATGCTTGCTATCCCCTCTGACTCATCATACTACTGACTTACAATCCTACTCGACATAGATTGGTTGTGATAATATCCGACATCTGGTACAATAACATCAGAAATTTGACTAGAATTAGACTCATTCAGAACACATTTGTCACATTCATAAGGAACATCACTGGGGATAGGTCCATTGTGAAGGCGAATAACATCTGTTACGATACCATAAGGACTGTAATCAGATCTCAACTGATTTAGAACTTATTCCTCACATTTAATTGAGATTTCACTAGAAATAAATGGATCATTAGGACAAACGGCATCTGATAAATTAACGTCAGAGTTCTGATTTGGTGCACTCTGTTTATGTTTGTCATATAATTTCATTAGGAATACATCAACAATGAGAATAACGCATATATGGTAAAATAATATGATTCATTTGAAGCACTCAACTTTATAGAATTGGAATTACAAAGTTTAGCTGTGCTTGCATCGAAATGAATAGTAGTATTACAAACTTATTGAATGTGTTCACATTTAGCATTACGAAATACATATGAATTGCATGAGTGAAATTCGCCACAGAACAAACATTTACCAAAATTGCACTCACCTCCATAACCTGCAGAACTAACGAAACAAAATTTATTCTAGTAGACCAGATTACGTTCTTCTGTACAGTGTACGAAACTTTTTTAAAATATTCGTATTAAATTATATCAAAACATAAACTCTGCTCAATTTAAACTGCTCTAATTTTAAAAAGAGAAATTGTTTCAAAGATACCTTAAACGGTACAGCCTGTGTTATGTAGTCAAGGGTTTCTCTAACACAAAAAATAGCGTGCTAAACAACAAAAGAGTTGAATATCTGAGAATCAGTAAAAATATCCCAAACAAGATAACACAAGATATCCATCTGCAGGGATTCCAGCAATCTTTCCAACAGACAGGTCGGATGTTAATATCTACATACTAAACCACGCCGTCACCCTGAGCTTAGTCAAACACGGCCTTATTGTCAATAGTCTGTCTACATGCAACAGAAAAGATAGGTAACGAGAAAGTAAGTATTTAATCAACATCATCGGACGAGGTATACTGAAGGACACAAAATTTAATTAAAAGTGATCTGAATAAAGGTCGTAACACATGACAGGGAGAAGAAACTAATAAATGACAGTGCTGTGGAGTCATTTCAGTGTTTTCGTCCCGTACCATATATTAAATGGGTCTTGTAATATTGAATTAATCAAAATCGAAGAATTTCTAATTAACCTAACACTGTTTCCTAACAATAACTCGAACGCGTAAATGGACGCTATTTTTGGCAAAATTATTGCGTGGTGCTAAACTTAGATACAGTAGATGTGGATCGTAACAATCTGCTTTTCTCTTTAATGATGTAAAAGTACGGAGGAATAAATACGATTCACATTAACTATTGACTGACGAAGCTTCCTATCACTTTATCTTTCATAAAATACATCTGCTCTTAGCCATGTCAGCTAGACAATGAACCTTGATATAATGGTTACATTGAATATTTTGACAGAGCATGTTGAACGGCTTTTATTTATTGATTGTACGTGTATGATATTTGTGTTCTAAGTTCTACATGTTTAGAAGTTGTGTGCTAAAATGTGTGTAGTGTGATTTTTAGATTAGCGTGATGTGGCTTAATTAGATTTCTCTGTTTGAGGGTCCATGTAACGTAACGAAAACATTTATGGTCAGCATACACTTGTCATATTGAGTTTGATATATCATTACTCGTGTCCGAGTCTCTTCTTGTGAAATAAACTAGAAGCTAATGAAATCAAACGAGGATGATTGAATAATTGAAGCCAGATCATCATTGAAAACCTGAAGTTCTAGTGGGATACTGTGACCAGTGGAGTTCAACCGGGTCTGTTGAGAGATAGTAGCTCATTGAAGACAGTGGCGCAATTCCGAGGATTGGTTGAAGCTAGACATTGATACTGCTGGATGCCGGTCCAAGGGTTTTGAAGTCAGGCGTTCGGTCGCGAAAACGACAGTTCTCGGTTCGAGTCCCACATGCGGGTTCGTGGCCGTGCACTACGGAGGACTCTAATATCAAGACGAAACAGCCGTCCAGTGCCTCCAGGTTTTCAACGGTGGTCTAACTTTACTCGATCCAACTAATCGATCAACTAATAAAATTACTACAATCTCTGGAAAAGCTCTTTCTGAAAATAATGTAGTAGAAAGTTCTATTTAGGCATTATATAGCGCTATCACAGAGCATAAACTTTGAGCTCAGAAGTTGTCAAACAAGAAGTGTTCCATTTACCTATCAACTCGTAACACATTGCAGGTACTTAAAACCTTCATACAGTAGTATTTCATGTAAAATTTCATGGCTGGCATCGATGAGTAATACGTACGATGATATTTCAGCATCTCATGAGAACTGTGAAAAATTCCCAAATAGCAGTTTGAAGCCAAGTGATTTTATTAAGAAGCACTCATCAAATTTGACATCTTTTTATCTCTAATAAGCCATCTTGAACAAATGAAAAATACATACATTAGAAAGTTTTGCGTTCCTGTTGGCATCAGTGAGCAAACCATGCAAAACATAAATGTTCATCTGAGTATACATGACGTTCTGTATGAAACATTTTAATCTTAAAGAAGTTTTTCCAGCCAAAAACCTTTCCGTAAAAATAAGGCACGAATGCTACAGAAGTGTCGTAGCATTAGAGATGAAAACTGCAAAGGGAAAAAGTACGTTAACGTTTTACACATAATGGCTGTTTGTGTCACCTGAGAACCTTGCAATTCTGCAGGACGTGATGATTATTAAAGGTTGTCAAACTGTGTCAAACTCTACAGTCAGTCGTTGGGCTTTAGTTATTGCTGTGGAATGGAAAATCCAGCGGCGAAAAACCTATCTGGATGTCTTCCTTCATCCTGTTTATATCGTTATTGTACTTCGCTTCGTTCTTTTCGAAAATAAATACTTTCAT